GATGAGACAACTCTCCATCCGAGACCATATGACATTAAAGTTAGCAACGACAGGTTACCATATGGCTTCAACAGTCATCAAACTACATCCTACATAGAAACATATAAAAGGGCCCAACATGACAAATGTAAAACAATTCAAACGAGAAAACGAACGGCCTGATGTATAAAACAATAACAGAAAAAAAATATGATATACAGCAACAAATGACAACCACTGAATTACAAGCTCCTGACTTTGGACAGTCACATAAAACATGTGGCGGGATTAACGATTTTAGCGTGCTAGCATATCAAGCTGTACCGATTGGTAAATTATTTCGTTGATACGTTAAGAAAATATGTCAGTTGTTTATGTCATTATGATATCGGAACAATGTCGAAATTAGTATATTTGACATAGAATAACAAGTTAACACATTGTAGTTTTTTGACAAAGTACATATGACTTAGTCTGATATAAATGATATGTTACCAACATCTTCAAACACGACATCGTGAAGCTGAGACAATAAACTTGAGCACTGCGATTGGTCATATCTAAATCAAATGACAAGATCTCAAACAAAAGCTTATTTGTCATATATACATATATATTTTTCTCTCTTAATTTTTAGTGGTGAATACCTGAAAAGAGGGGCGGAAGATACCAGAGGGACATTCAAACTCATAAATCGGAAACTGACAACGCCATGGCTAAAAAAGAAAAAGACAAACAGAAAAATTCTATTTGATAAAGTTTAAAATATTTTCAAATTCATTTGACAAAAAGACTTTTACCATATCGCCTTCATTTCCTAAATTAAATTGCATTGTTTGAATTAAATCTTAAAACAAGTTTAAGCATATCTTTTATCTTCTAATTGTTTTACACTCTGTATGGGTTTGTGTATTGTAGGAAAAAAATATAGGGTGATAACTTCTTATTCGAGTGAACAAACAGATCATCTAAAGGTTGTTAAAGGTGATGTAGTAAATGTTGTCAACAGAAACAGTAGTAATGGTTTACTGTGGGTACAGTTTGATGATCAAGACGGTTGGATCCCTGAAAAACATTTGGAAACAGCATTTTCCGACAAAGGTATTTGCAACATATTAACGTAAACACCCTTCATTGTTATCGAGTGAAGTCTTTTCGGTTTGGAAATCAAATTTTTTTGTGGTAAGATAAGCGCCTGTCAAGCTTAAAATGACAAGACATTATATGTTTTTATCATTTTAGTTCATTTATACGCTTCGAAGTTTAGTGTGACGTTCATTTTCGCTGAGCTAGTATACATTTGTGTTTAAGGGCCAGCTGAAGCCCGCCTACGGGTGCAGGATTTCCTCTCTGTGTTGAAGACCCATTAGTGGCCTTGGGCTGTTTACTGCTCTTTGGTCGGGTTGTTGTCTCTTTGACACATTCCCCGTATCCATTCTCAATGTTATAAAAACGATCCCTAGCATGTATTTTTCTCAACATTTTTTTTTCGTATTAAATCTTGAATCAAAAACTCTTTCATATATCGAATTACGTTTTTTGTTACTCATACTATTTTTCGTGTTGCACAATATTTTTCAAGTGATTATATTTTAATGTTTTCTGATTTCAACTGGTGTTAAACCAATTTTTCCACCAAAGCGTGTCAATATGTATGAGGAAACCAGAAATAGAAATATACCAGACACGTTCAAAAGACAATGTAAGCTAAAACTGTAATAAAACAATGTTTGTTTGTTCCTTGTTATCTTGATATTTCTAATTAAGTCTATATTGTCTTGAATGGATTTGTAAAATATTTTTGGATGTGGAATATGGGTTGTCCTATTTTTTTATGATTACATTCTAGTATATCTGTAGAATATAACATAGACGTTTTGTTCTGGTCATTCTCAATAATTCCTCACTTAGTTAAAGCATTACGTTGAGAATTATTTTTTTTCTACCGATATATTAATAAATATGGGCAACAATGATTGACCGACGTTCTTAACCTGTATAAAACTTTCACATTTGAAAAAAAAATATCTGAAAAATCATATGAAATAATCTCAGTTATAAAAATATTATCAACCGGTCGGTACGAACATAAAACGCTTTGCAGGTAATTAAAATTTGATTTTAATCATGTAAAATCGAAGTACTTCAATTGTGTTTAGTAAGTTCTAAGTTATATTAAAGTGTATTTCAGGATCTTTAATGCCTTGCTGGAAAAGTAGTACATGTATGTCAAATAATATTAACTTATCAGAGTTTTAAGATTTTCTAGTAGTCTATGATTTAATCATATGATTTGAAAGTGCTGCTTTATAGTTTTTTCTGTAATTGATGAATAGGATAAAGAATACATTATTTATATTTATTAAAGTTTATGTAAAATAAAGTCTTCCCAAGTAATGGGATATGAAGGTCTTTTCAGTAGTCATTATTTTGGATCGACTAGAGATCATTACTTACATATTGTCAATTCTGATTCAACGCATAGGTAACCGTTTCAGAAATAACTAGCTGTCGTCAATTACAGAATTTGGTGTACAATATTTGTGAAAAAAGTTGATACGTAAAATTAAATGTTTGTGAACACTGCGTCCTTAATAAAAGAGTAGGTAACCCATTGCAGTTTTGTTAAGTTGGAAGTTTTTTATGATAATAACTACGGAGAATTATTTGTTACAAACAGATTTGAAATATAAATGCTGATCACAATGCTTTTAATATTAATAGTATTTGATGCAATTTGGTTTTGCAACTATTTTTGTTTTCGTATTTTAACCTTATAAAAAATTGCCATAAGGTAAATTGAGGAAACATATTTTTTTATGTGTTACTATTGAATTGTGTCCTTTCCATCAGCGACAACGACAAGAAGTTGTACATATGATACAGATGCAGGCAATTCTGATGAATGTAATCATGCGTATGATTATATTGAAGGTAATTATAGAAATAGATTTGTGTACATATATAAAAACATGTTTTAAAGAATTTCAACCGACCAAAGATTGTATTTTTTCAACTCTTGTTGTATTTCCCATCAAATATTCATTTCGTCTGCATTCACATGATCAAAACATTCTTAAAGCAGCAAGCCAACTTAAGTATTCAATGACAAAAACAAAATATATTTTTTAATAGTTTCGTACAATTTTGATAATATTATTACTATTTGAATTCAATAACGAGAGTTGACATCATGAGATATCCAATTTTCATAAGTTGTTAAACCTATTTCTCTTATGGTCAACACGCTCAATGTGTTAAATTGAAAATTCCGTGAAATGTTGATCTAGTCTTTTGCACATTCCAGTATGACGTCATATGTACTTTTTCGGTGTCAAACTTTAACATCAGACGTTTTAGGACGTTTTGTATGTTTCAGAGTGTAATAAAATTTGACAAAAAGAAGATTGTCAGGTGAAATGTGTGAATGTTTTGTTTATTATTGAAGAAATCACATATGTCCGTTGCCGTGGACGAAATGTACATCGTCTTAACCTTTGAAAGTCATCAATGATCTAACAAAAAGCCAATGGAAATGCCGTAATATCGTCTTGTGATGCTGGATAAGCCAATCAAATTAACACAGATTTTCGTATCATTTTTTTTGTATCACACTCCTTGCAATGTGATACGAGAAATATCTATTCATGCAAGAAATAGATAACAGGCCAAAAAGATAACATGCCACAATCATAAGAGAATAATAAATATATGTGATACGATTGCCAATGAGACAACTCTCTACCTGATATCAATTGAGATGGGGGGCCTCGGTGGCCGAGTGGTCTAAGTAGTTACTACTGTAATCACTAGCCAGTCAACACTGAGGTTGTGAGTTCGAACCCCGCTCGTGCGGGTGCACTCGACTCCAATCTTAATTGACTAGGATTGTCAGTTTTCCTATCGAAGGTCGGTGGTTTTCTCCTGGCACTCCGGCTTCCTGCACCAATAAAAACTGGCCACCACGAAATAGCCCAAAAGCGGTGCTTAAAAGTGGCGTTAAAACACCAAAAAATCAATCAATCAATCAATCAATTGAGATGGAATTTTAGCCACTATAGATAACAGTTAAGTCCTCACAATGAGCAAAACCTATACTGCATATCAACATATAAAAGATTCCAACATGACAAATGTAAAACAAAACAATTCAAAGGAGAAAACTAACGGCCTAATTTATGTAGAAATCAATAAACAAAAATAAATATGATATACAGCTAAAAACAACTGTATCAGACACATACATAATGTGGCGTAGTTAAACATGTTTGCGGGCGGTGAATCAGCATAACATGAGAAGCAATAATAAAAATTAGTTGAAAAGGGCTTAACTCATCAGACCGATACAAAACAAACACAAAACCCTAACAAAAACATTAAGACACAATGTACAGATCTGAGAGTACTCAAAAGGACTGAAAACTAGTCCAAAGCCAAAAACAGATTATAAGAAAATCACTTATCTAAGACAAAAATATATATCAGTTCAAATCCCCTTATCAACGGATCTAGCTTAAATACTTAATAAAAAGTTAGAGAACAACATGACCTTGTACAATGCCAAAATATAGGTATTAACAGATTGAAGAAACGTGAATGTGGATATATGTATAACAACAATTATGAGTTCGGTTTTAATTAATTGATAACAAAATCAATGTTTATTATACGGATTTTTCGATAGGTTTGCAAACTGCACATGTGTTTGTTCTCCAAACTAAAGATGTTTCCTTCTACCAAATAACAATATTTTCAAAGTATAGGCAATTACCCTTTGATGCCCAAATTAAAATATTATGAACGAATAATACGGAGACCAATAGGAATACAATTATGAAATAAATCATTTATGTCTTACTAAAAGTATCTCAGGTGGCTTTTCTGGTTCTTTATCTAGCTGATAACACCAACATTCAATTTACAGTTAAACAAGTCCTTATGATATCTTTAAAAGTATTTGAGCAAATTATGAAAAAACAAAATTAACAGTTTCAGACTTTTACGGGACGTGTACATCATCAATGTATGAACCGGAAGAGAACAGAGCACTTTATAAGGGACTGCCACTTAGACCTCCACTTCCTACACCTGACGGTATATTACTATAACAATGCATTTTTGTTAATATCATCATCTTCTGATCCAAATTTACAATTCAGATTTTTCGTTCTTGAAAGACGATCGATATCAATTGAACCTGTCGATCTGTATGTACATATTTCGTTGAAGCATTTCAATAAAACATTAAGGCACAATTCATCAACCAATGGTTAATGTGTGATATAAATATAAATCCATTGATTAAAAACTACTTATTATAAAAATTTAATAACAAATGGGCTACCCATTTGTTTAGCTTAAAAGCTGGTCGTAGTATATATCATATAAAGCAGAGGCGGAAGATACGAGAGAGATATTCAAACTAATATGTCGATTACAAACTGACAACGCCATGGTAGAATACTAAACCGACCATAAAACAAACAACAGTATATAAAGAACAACACAAAACTAAAGATTGAAAAACACGAACCTCCCCCTAACCCCCTAAACACCACCTCATCTGCCCTAAAAAAATCATCCATGTAGTAGTCAAAGTTGAAGACATAGTCCACAATCGGACTTTAAATGAACCTACTTTTTCGCAAACTCCGTTCTAAGCACAACTATATTCTGTTTTTTTTTTTTTTACATTATAATACTAGCATCAAAATAATCAAAAGATATCAGTAATACATTGTATTGCTTAAACCTAGATAGAATCTTGGATTCCAAAAGTTTGGTTAATTGTTAGCACATGTTATGATTATCAGGCAATAGTACGTTTTTCATCCATAGTTAATTTCAAAATACAAAAATAAAGACTTATGATAATTTATCAAAGAACTTTTGCAAAAAAAGTTTAACAATTTCCTGTAACTGTAGAAACAAGGACTCGCAAGGAAGAAGATGCAGTAAAGATGGCAACACTATATGGTAATATCATACAGTTTATATTCATGGTTAGAAAACCATCTTCAATTTATATAATCATTAGTGATGTCATGTATTGCCATGAACTGTTTTATTCAGGCGATATCATTTTTTATGAAATGAGGAAAAGGGTATTTAAGTGAATACATAATGTCGTATTGTTTACAAATTCTGCTTGCTAGCCTGTCGGAAATTCTAAATTGTTATGAACAGTTGATTTAATGTATAACCTATACTGTTTAAGAGCCCGAAGTATTTAATGGAAAGTTGATGTAAAAAAAACTCTCAACAGTTGTGTTCTAGAAACTTTAGGAGTAGTTCATAAATTTTCTGAATGAACTCATCAGAAATACAAAGATAAAAATTGTGTTCGCCAGACGCCTAACTTTCCAAATTCAATAGTTACTCTATAGAAAACTATATTATAATATTCTGTACTTAAATATAATGTTTTTCAATATTTTTATTATTACTTGTATTCTTATTATCATTCAGGCCCCGCCAATTGAGCGGCGAAATGCCTATAGTGTTAAGCTGATACGTCTGTAAGTTCATTCGTCACAAATTCTTTCTATTCTCTAACTCTTGGAATAGATTACCATGTATAGCTGTATTTAGTAAAACCTTTAGAACTTTTGCGTCCTCAATGCTCTTCAACTTCGTTCTTTATTTTGCTTTCTTAGCTTTTGATTCGAGCGTCACTGGTGAGTCTTTTGCAGACAAAACGCACGACAGGCGTACAAAATTTCTATCTTGGAATCTATAATTAGTTTTCTTTTTTTAGTAGTTTGGTAATGAAACTTTCTGAAAATATTATTCACAACTACTAGAAGGTGTTTTTATTAAAAACACAACATTGCTGCTAAGGTTAAGGTCAAAAACGTTGTTTAACATAGTCGGGACGTGGCACAAATTAATCTTTGTGTATGCATGTCTTCAATTCTGATTTAAATAATAATTAGATAACAATTTTAGTTACTATGAAATAGTATTCTTCAGCTGGGTCGTTCGAAAATCTTTTATAACCTCTTTAAATGTCAATGTTGTTTCGTAAAAATTATTTCAAATCTTTGTCATTGCACCTTCCATACTATTTAGATAAGAAAACATACAACTGTACTGTATATTATCCAATGTATTGATATCTTATTTTCAAAAGAAATCTTATAGCACCTGCATTCGAAATTAGTTTCCTGAAAGACCCATTGACAAATATCTGCGGTGGTGTAATGCATTTTTTATAAATGAAAAGAGTCAGTTGGAAGACATATATATTTTAGCTGATTTACTTCTGTCAATGTGTTAACAATGAGTTGCATGACGACCACTCGTAATGTGATAACAGCAGCAGTGTTTTCAAGTTATGAAATAATTTCATCTTCTTGCATCTTTGATGTTAATCTTCTTTGTCATGTATACTTTTGTTTTACCAAAAGCTATCATTGTAAAGGAAATCTATATAACGCTATATATATGTCTTGTTCTGTTGCCTTCAGAACTAGATGCAAAATGATTAACTACTTAGCATACAACTAATAACACACAAATTAATACAATGAAACAAATACTAGTATATAATATTAGTGCAATTCATATTGTAACAGCATATGTCTTAGTAATGCCCAAGTAATGTGAATACATATATGTATATATGATAACATTATTTTCAGGAGGACGAGAAAAAAACGAAATCAGATTAGTCATGGTTGGAAAGACTGGATCAGGGAAAAGCGCAACCGGAAATACAATCATGGAAAAGGCCAACTATTTTGAGTCAACAATATCAGCAGGGTCAGTCACTCGTTATTGTGAAAGAGCAGAATGCAAACAAGCAGAACGTAAGGTTATTGTTGTAGATACGCCAGGTTTATTTGATACAAATATTCCTTCTGATGAGGTATCAGAAGAGATAACAAGATGTATAAACATGTCAATACCAGGTCCACATGCGTTTCTCCTTGTGATGCCGATAACTAGGTTCACAAGCGAAGAATTTGATTCGTTTAATCGTCTCTTTGAACTCTTTGGTGATGGGATGGGAAGATTTGCATGCATTGTTTTTACCAGACTTGATGACCTAGAAAGAGGCAAAAAGTCAATTGAAAAATACATAGAAACCGCGCCACAACTGAAAAATTTCATTCAACGTTGTAAAGGTCGATATATTGCATTTGATAATACAGCACCTGAGAAGAAAAAAAAGGTTCAGGTTAAACATTTTATTGAGCTTGTCGATAAAATCATAAAGGAAAACGGGGGAAATTATTACACAAATGAGTTATATAGGGAAGCTGAGGCTACCTTACAAAGGAAAGTAAAAGAATTGGAGGAGGAAAAGGCACAACAAAAAAGGAAAGAGATTGAACTAATACAGTCCAAATTTAAACACGAAATAGATTCCATGAGGGAAGAAAATAAAAAATTATCAGAACAAGTTTCTAGTAATAAAGAACATCAGAAACAGGTGCAAAGAGAAAGAGAAAATGCCGACCAACAAATTCTTAAAATGAAAGAAAAAATAAAATAAATCGACAAGAATCAAGAACAATACAAAATTATGAAACAAGAGAAAGAGGAGAAAGAAAAGCAAGCAAAACACTTAGCAGAAAAGGATAGACAGTATAAGGAACTCTTACAGAAAACGGAACAACAACAAAAGGATATGGAGAGCAGATTTCGTGATATGGAACAAGAGAGGAAATCGCAACTTTCAACAGCGAATGAAGAACACAATACAAGACTGAAGGCGGAAGTACAACGAGTAATTGACGGTAATACCAAGAAATTTAATGAATTGATAGAAGCATTAGAAGCAAAAGATAAAAAACAAATGGAAGAGCTTGAGTTACTGAAACGACAAAACAAACAGCTCAAAGAACAGGTGGAAGAAAGAGGATGTGTGATATCTTAATATTCGAACAGCACGAAGAATTTGCATCAGCTTTCTATAAAAAAAACCATCACACATACTCGCCGAAGTCTCTTATCAAAGAAAAAATTGGATCTTTCTTAGAGTGTGACACAATTTGAAGTTAAATATGTCTAATTAACTGTGATTGATTTACTATAACTATTACATAATTGACATTTGCTTTATCAAGAATTGTTTTAGATAAATATCAAAATAAACCTGATTTGATTTCAGTTCATTTCTAAACATTTTTATAGAGTAGAAATATATTTTGATACAGATTTTTGCTCAGTATGAACTATGTATTTGATTAAGCTTTATCTTAACGATACGTTCAATCAAATGTTCTTCTTTTAAAATTATGGCTTATCATCTAATCTATCATTAATTATTGCAGTAACGAGATTTGTATTGTCTCCACTGAGATTTTTAACAATTCATATTGTATCTAAGCATTGTTTCAGGTTAGGGTAAAGAAGTAAGACATTTGTTTGTTTAACGTATCATTAATTTGGAATTTTTATCAAGCTAATCAAACTGCAACTGTTTTATAACCCAAGATAAAGCTGATGAGGAAAGGTATTACACAACTATTGAAAGTTGCGTTTTCATAGCCTAGTTGGTCGAGTTTTCCTGGGCGCTAGACACAGTGCAGATGGTATTGCCACGATGTTACAGAAGGAAGGGTCGAATCCCGCTGAGGGAAACAAAAATTGTAGATATAACATTGTTGACTTAAATTTGAGACGAATTATATATACCATGCAACAAACCTGAATGGTCAGTGCCTTATCTTACGGATTAATAAACAAGTTCCATAACAAATATCGCGGATCGATTTTTTTCATAGAATATTATTATTTGATTAAGATTTTCCTCTGTAGTTTTATCAAGGAATATTTAAACCTTTTTTTCTATGCAATTCTATAAGTTAAAACTAATTCAAGAAATATAAAAAGATCTTGAGAGATATATTAATCAGTGCTGTATAAGGCATATTTTAGTAAAAGAAATTGTCAAAAGCCTTGAATTTATTGCGATCGTCTGCCTAGAAAATTTGCGATCTGGGTCAAGAGGACATCATTTCAAACCTGTCAAGATAGATTAATATTTTGCAATGTTAAAAATCCGTTATATATGGGTTTTTATTTTATTTTTTTTGGGGGGGGGGGTTTTGTTTTTTTTTTTTTTTTGTTAAATGGAAATCAACAGTTTACAACAACGATGGGTTTTTGAAGTTTATTTTCAAGGAATATTACGTAGAAAAAGAAACAAATGCGATTTGATCAAAGTGTTTCTGACCAAACAGCTTTAATCAATTCAGACATAGGGTCAAGTGCTGGTTGATCTGGCTATCGCTTTACCATTTTTTATGGCATAGTCCTCAACTGCATCAATCATCGGTAATCTGAAATTATTCTTCTGGTTGGCTAAACAAGTTTTGTTCATAATAACCTTAATTCTGAAAAATGTATAACCTTAGATATGCATATATCTTATTAATATAATTGTAATGAAAAAAGGATAACGTCCTTAAACGCAAAACAAATTAAGATAAACAACATCTTCGGTTTGTTTTTGTTTTTGTTTTGTTTAATTTGTTTGTTTTTTTTTATTATTTAATGTATCTTATCGTTCACACCTCAGATTCTGCCATAACAGTTATCTTTAATTTTCAGCTATATCTAAATGATGAAAAGTAGGAATTGAGGTAATAATGATGCGTTTCAGTGCAAGCTAGAATATATTTTTTTTAAACATAAACACAAACCTTTTTCCTTTTTCTTCAAATTTCTTTGATGTATATTTATCTTATCGTAATATTACATGTGTCACGTTTTGCTTGGCATATGAAAACCTTTGACAAATATTTTTTTTTTCTGTTTATATGATATTCATTTGAGTTAACATGGAAAATCAATAATGCTTGTGGTATATCAGATATCGACTATTTTTTGGGGCCCTTTATAGCTTGCTGTTCGGTGTGAGCCAATGCTCCGTGTTGAAGGCCGTACCTTGACCTATAATGGTTTACTTTTGTAAATTGTAACTTGGATGGAGAGTTGTCTCATTGGCACTCATACCACATCTTCCTATATCTAAAACAATCAATAACGATTAACAAGTGTTGAAAGTTGTCGTTAAAGGAAGGAATTGAATTGAAAGTTACAAGGACTGCACCAAACATTTCCAATGGTTCCGTCTTAATTATTCTGGGAGTCTGAACTCGTCGTTTTTGAAGCGTAAAATCATCTTTGCTTTACAACTATTTTTTTTTTATTTTGTAAAGTCCCGGAGTATTCTTTTTTCCTTTTTCTCAAAACCTCGTGAATCTTCTGCGGATCTTTATATGCTGACACATTCTGTAAATTATAGTAAACGTCTTCAATCACTTTGTGCTTTTCTGTCATATTTGAACATTTGTTTTGCTAGACGATCAATCATCGAAATACGTGCTTCACTCTTCCAAATAATAGAATACCAATCTTGTGCACGAAGGCGTTAAGAATATAACAGTAATAAATGTTCTGGAATGGTTCTACATGATACTTTTCTAAAAAAAATCATGATATAACTCCTATAATGTAATGTCTAGAATTAAATCGTTAAGAGTTATCTTTTTGTCACTTTTCTAACGATATAGTCAGCGTGAATGAATTCTTAAACATTGTCTAATTTCCTAGTTATAAATTCAACTTCAACTTCATACGTCGAAAAGTACTTTTGGGAATGTGTCCTGATATAATAAGATTTTTCGATTTCTTTATTACTCTTTTGAACATGTTCTGGTATTATCCTATGTATACTACTGCCAATAAGAAAATCGAAAACCAAAAATAGGAAAATGCAAGACGGGCAACTGTTCAGCAATTCAAAATAAACAAACAGATGACAACAGTCAAAACAAACTGCACGGCAAAATTAAATATTTCGAAACATAAACCGGCCAAACAAAATCTAAGGCGATCAACTGCCTGCTCGGTAAATGGCACTTGTCGTATCGCTTAAGGAAAGGTAGGTATGTCATATTCCGTGATGTCACATAGAGGACAGATATCTGGCTAAAACAAGTTGCCTAAATTGTCTGGTCTTCTATGATATAGATTAACGTGCACAAATTCATGATGGTTTTTTTGTAGAACAACAATAAGATGACTCAATTTTACCATTACACACCGTTATTTCAAATGCTCCTTGTAATCAGTAATCCTTTATCAAGGAACACATTATATGGATCGCAAACTCCTGAATATCTTTTTAATTCGAAGGTGCATTTCATATGTTTAGTTTTTAAGAAATAATTCATGGGGGCTTGAATTTATACTGATTTTACAACGGGTTGGTCTTTTAAGGTAAATATTTTACCATTTTGACAGCGAGGGGTAAACTATTGGCATAAAGGGCAATATATATGTGGATTATAGCTATTCTAATAAAACAAATACTGCAATTCTTTTGGATCGAAGCGCTCTAGGGAAAGTCAAATATTGATTGGGCTGTTCCGATCATATTCCCTCGTCATATGCTTTTTTTGATGAATGAGCTATCCGACGTTATTCTTCTTTAGGTACAGAAAACTATCAACATTTTGAAGATTATTTTTCCGGCGATGCCGTAAGAATATAAGCTTTTTACGGGAAAATGCACGATTGTAAAACCGAAAATCACTACAACAAGGAAACGTTAACAAACGATGCTAAAATGTGTTATCACCCTTTTTTTTTTTTTAATTATAAGTAAGATTATCATTTAAATTCATCCAAACCTATATAGTTAGTTTCTTTTAAACTGGAAAATTTCTATCAATCTACATTAACTCAAGAACACTGACAAAAAAGAAGTCAAATTTATTTTCACTTTTGCAAAAGGAAAGTGACATTGGTTGTTTATACTACATTTCTTTGGAATTTCAAGTATTCATATCTGATTCACACCGCCCTATGAAGTGTTTTGTAATGTACTGTAGTAATTGTGGTATCCAGTAGAATAAAGTAAGATCCCGGTTTTTAGTGTTTGTTTGAAATTTCTAAGTAACGTAAAACCGACCTATGGTTGAACATAATTTTAAATGATACGATGTTTATGCGATTTGGATACTGTCAAATGGATGTCCAAAGTTAAATATGGTGTCACAAATCCGATTAGATAGAATGATTTCAATTTACAATGTTCGAAATATGATAAACGTCCCGTCAAAATCACCAGCATCGTATTTGGACAAATAACCAGGACTGAATTGCGACCCTCCACCAGCACCGTATCAAAGACCACCATAAGCACCGTATCAGGGCCCATCAGTACAGATATAGGACATGTTTCGAACTGTTAAAATGCACGATTTTATGAAATTGCTACGATATTTCAAGAAATTTTTATGTTCTGCGGATATGGGTATAGAAAGTGGACCCGTGAGCATTTTTGTTGACAGTTTCCGTTCTAGATATTTTAAACATTAACACTTTTGTGTTAATGAAGGAGCATTCAGACATGTGCTCGCCATTGAATCGAAAGAAAATAAAATTAAAAAATCTCATCTAGTCCTTTTCATTTTGTATTCTAGAAAACATCAAAATTCATCATTTTCGTCTTTGATTGCACATTTTAAACGATCGCTAAAATCGATCAGGATCAAATTACCAGCACAGAACATCCAACGGTAGAAGTGATGCTACCCAAATTCGTACTTGATCTGAGTTTTGTGGAAATAAGCTTTGTGTATAAGATTCATTACATTTGGTTGAGAAACAGACCAAACCATAACAAGAGTGCACACACTGAAATGTCTGGCCTTCTTTACTGGCCATTGTTTTTATGTTGATAGTCCTAAATCTAAGCTTTCCTACAAGCATCACACAAACTCAACACGGTCCAAGAAAATGAGGTCAAGGTCAGATATACCAAACGGGAAATACATGTACAATTTACAATCATTCAATACACCAAATATATTTGACTTATTGCTTATAGTTTTTATGAAACAGACTTAACCAGGAAAACTAAACATTGACCAATGAACCATGAAAATGAGGTCAAGGTCAGATGAACGATACCAAACAGACATGTACACCTTACAATCAATCTATGCATCAAATGTAGTTGACATATTGCTTATAGTATCTAAGAAACAAACTTAACCATGTGTGGCAGACAGGATTAAAATGTAATTGTTATTTCCCTTGTTTAAAACTATAAATTTCATATTTCTATATTTAAAGATTAACATGATGCTTATTCAGTACATAGTTGTTAAATTGAATAGATATTGATATTTTGAATTCATTGGTTAAAGATATTTATTTATATTCTCAAGTTTAGTATTTGCATCGTTGCAAAACATTTATTACCTTCTTCGGAAAACTTATATATTTATATAACTGGTTTGAAATTATTATGTTGAATTGTCTGAGGACTGACGTTCAGTCCAACCTAGGAAAGCCGTGCTTTCCAATCACCCTTTAAGGTTAGTGCATCTGCCATATGCCTTCTTAATACGGGTAAATAATGAAGTCATTGAATGCTCCATTTCTCTACTTTTTTGGGTTACTTAATAAAAGTTGTATTTGTTGATTAAATTATATATTGTTTTCACTGTTTTTTTGGTTTTCATTTACATAGATATTTATATAGCGCTTTTACATTTGGCATCCATCGTCTCCGTTTAATCAGTTCACAAACTAGAACAAGCTGTGGTCCGCATCCCGAATTTCCAGCAGAATTGTTCCTGCTACACATGAAAACTTTACATTGACCAATGAACTATAAAAATGAGGTCAAGGTCAGATAATACCTGCTAGACAGACATGTACATGTGACAATCCTTCCATACACAAATATAGTTGACCTATTGCTTATAGTTTAAGGAAAACAGACTAACACACAAAAACTTAACAGTGAGCAATGAACCGTGAAAATGGGATCAAGGTCAAATAAAACCTGCGAGACTGACATGTACATCCTAAAATATTTCGATACACCAAATACAGTTGACCTATTGCATATAGTAGTAGAAAAAAAGACCAAAACACAAAAACTTAACTTTGACCACTGAACCATGAAAATGAGGTCAAGGTCAGATGACACCTGCCAGTTAGACATGTACACCTTACAATCATTCCATACACCAAATATAGACCTATTGCTTATAGTATCTGATATATGGAATTGTTTATTTTTTTGTACATTAATTAGTCCGTTAGTTTTCCGTTTGAATTGTTTTACATTTGTGATTTCGGGGCCTTCTATAGCTGACTATGTGGTATAGGCTTTGCTCATTGTCGAAGGCCATACGGTGACCTATAGCTGTTAATTTCTGTGTCATTTGGTCTCTTGTGGAGAGTTGTCTCATTGGCAATCATACCAAATCTTCTTTTTTATATTGACCATGAAAACTTAACCTTGTTCACTGACCCAAGAAATGAGGTCAAGGTCAGATGAAAACTGTCTGACGGGCATGAGGACCTTGAAAGGTACGCACATAATAAATATAGTTATCCTATTGCTCATAAGAAAGATACTTACATTACAAAAAATCTTAACTTTTTTTTCAAGTAGTCACTGAACCATGAAAATGAGGTCAAGGACAATGGACATATGACAGATGGAAACTTCATAACAATAGGCATCTATATACAAAGTATGAAGCATCCACGTCTTCCACCTTCTAAAATATAAAGCATTTCAGAAGTTAGTTAATGCTGCCGCCTCCCCCGGATCACTTTCCCTATGTCAAGCTTTCTACGACAGAAGTTCTGTTCTCTCGCAGGCACGACAAAAACGTAAGCATCACCCATTGAACCATATGTGAGCAATGGTCAAGGACAGACACTATCTGACAGTCGAACAGTTGCAAGTTACAATCACTGCTCACACCAAATATATGCAACCTATTGATAATTGTATCTGAGATACAAAATGAACCACAAAAACTCAACCTTTATCCCTGATCCATGAAAGTAGCCGAGGTTAGGTGAACCCCTTCAGCATACATATACAAATTGCAAGGATCCCATATACCAATATATTTACCCTAATACTCATTAGTGAAAATTCATCCAACACAAACAGTGATTTTCTTTTAGGCAAACTCTTAACCATGGACATATGTTCAATGAAAGACTGAAACATGGTCACAAAACATGTGTAGAAAAGGTATGAAGCATCCAGGTCTTCTTTTGCAAATATAAAGCATGATACAAACAGTTTACACCTTTGCAGCAGTCAGATAATCATCCCATCTCACATGCTATGACTGTTGTTGCAGGCGAGATAATAACCAGCACCACATAATCTAGAAAGTATGGTCAAAATGTCTTCACTAAAAAAGAAAGTATGGGTAAAACCTAATAATTAATATCATAACTCTTATGAGGACTAAAATCACTACTAGGCCAAGTTGCCTTATATTGCTGATCACTTTTTATTCAATGTTATTTCCATCTCCTTATTTCAGAACCACACACAAAATGTGTAAAAATTGTCTGTAATGTGATATTTCTACTAACTTCTTTATAGCTTAAACTTGCAACAGGAGATAACTCCAGGAAAAATTACACTTCTGGTTTACAAATAACCTACAAAGTTGCAAGAAAAAAATATTTTATTATATTCCTAATTACATTTTAATTGTTATTAAATTGAAATAAATTCATGACCCACCATGTATAATCTTTGAAACAAAATGAGATCCAAACTTAATTTTGAAACAGCCCTCAAAATGCTAAAGTAGAAGTATCAATAAATCAAAGATAACCTCAGTGCTGGATTCAGATAAACAAAGAGGCAAAGGAGAAGGTCCAGTAAGGGCTAGTTTTGGCCTAATATTCGAAGTACATCTAATGAAAGATTTTTGACATTTTTCAAATACTTAAGTGTCTACTTTAGTCTATTCAATTAGTTTAAGTAAAAGATTTGAACTGATTTGTCATTAAAGACGCTCAAATTCAAGCTCAAATATGAAAAATCTATCAAATATGCCATAAAACGTCACTTTTCAGATGTTTTTTGTCTTAAATGGAAGTGGCCGCATTCATGTTCAGTCTCAACCTTTATATATGTTATGTATTATCATCAAATACAACATATATTTAAATTTTAAGACGGAACACAAATGCGGCCACTTCCATTTTAGACAAAAACCCTCTTAAAATTAGCACAAATGCTAAAATTGTGAAGCTTAAGTAATATTGCACGAACTTATGATGCTATTACCTGCTGCATGTGCATCGTATTGTCAAAAACAGCCCATATTTATGAAACAAAAGTATTCTACTTTCCAATAAATAGCTGAAAGATTACATTTTAACATATTGGTAAAAATGCTATATTTTGGGGCCAAAAAGGGGTCTTACCAGGCCTACTCCTTTCTAAATACACTAGAAATTGATATTTCCAAAACATTTAAAAACAATGGAGACAGACTGTTTACTGAATGTTTACTATATCCCAACACTGTTGATAGTAATCAAACTCTAAATATTTTAAAATATCTTTTAAATTGATAAAAAAAATTTAACAACAAGAAAATACAAAACATTACATTTATTTTACTGACTTCACATACACATGTAACATGATAGATGCGCAATGACAATATTGATACAAAAAAAATGTCATAGCCATAGAGAAACAACAAGCGTCAGTTGCAGTATTGTTTTTGTACAACTGAAAATCTTTACTTGAACGGCTAACATCCTTGCTGTCATGAAGGTATTAGTTTTCTAAACAGTCCTCAATATGAGTTTTACTTCATTATTATTTTTCTTGTACAAAATTTTGAACATTGTTTATTCTTGTGTTTCCATTCCTTCTTCATCCTCGTCATCCTCCTCCTCCTCCCCTTCCTTCTTCTCTGGCTTCTCATAGGCTTTATCTGACGGTGTGACCACAACTCCTTCCCATACACTCATGTCTGTAGCTATGCCTGTAAATAAATAAATATAAACAATATTTAGTTCAGATAGTCAAATAAAAAGAAAGGGGGATTTGAGTGCCAAAAAACAAACTTTAAAGGGATTGTAAGAGCCTTACTACTGAGGAAAAATAAACAAAAAAAACTTTAAACAGAAATCTTATTTTTCAATCAAACTGGTCTTTAATATATAAGGGTCGTTTTCAAAATCCGTTCATATTTTAGATAGATTTTATCAAATCAATTAAAATTTAAATATTCTATTGAACTCTTAATAATTTATATGAACAAAATCTCAAATATGCAGTCTTAATGAAACTGGGAAGATCATTTTAAATGCACATTTAGATAACAGAAATTACGGAATTTGTCAACTACATAATGATAGCATTTATGTTGATATCTCAATGTTTGGTACTAATAAATGATGACCTTTTCCTTAAATATTATAAGATAAATTTACTTTTTTCTAATTACTTTGATTATTTCAGTGTTCAACGTACTGATACTTCAACATCACAAACACTGTGCTTATTTCTTTAAAACACAGAACATTGAATATAATGATATAAATATGTATGAAAAAAATCCTGTTACCAAGTGGACAAGTAAAAAAATATGGGGCTACCTCTACTTACTTAAATGCCAATAATTGTTGATACCATTTACAGAGTTATCTTTTTATGCTTCCATTATTATAATGATATGTAGAGTTAGTTCTGAGGCACTTTCTAGATAGAAAAGGGGTGTCAGAATTTAAATTATAGCAAGCAAAAATGTTCTCGTTATGTAGTTGACAAAATATCAAGTACGCTATAAAACATTAAAAAAAATATGAAATCATAGCCAACTACTATTTAAAGCCTTTATGATATCAATCTCCATTGTATTTTCTATCTTAAAACAGAAAATTTAAGATTTTGGTTATTATAAAGATGTCTATTTTGATCCAATATTTGGTATTTTTGGAGTTGGGACATGCAGTTTGGGGTCAATTTAGAGCTTTGAGCATGGTTTCAAGAAAACCCACGAACCTGATACTTATTTTTCATCTTCAAGTGGTAGAACTTACGTTGCACTATGCAGGACACCAAAATTCAAATGATGATAAATCTGTATTTTCCTCACAGGTCAGCTGTACAAGAATATAGACGGATTTTGAAAATGACCCATAAAAAACAGGGAAAAAATGGTGTATTTATTGGTTAACATAGGCTTGAACTAGCTTTCAGTAACTGATAGTTTTCTTAGAACCATTCTTGGTGTTTTTTGTCTTCTTTTAAAAAATATTTCTTTCCAGTTGATCTGATGAGTCACAACCTTTCCGACTGATTTTCACAAATATCTCTTATGTTATGTGTTTGCAACAGTGTCTTAAGTTAGTAGTAGTACTAAGCCCTAACAAACAAGCTAAACCAATTCACATTCTTTATGTAACTGTCCCAACCAGGAAACTGTTAACCAGTGGATGTTGTTGGTTACTGTCTGCCTTTATATCTTACTATAGAGTTTGGGTATTGCCCATTTTTGAAGGCCATATGGAGACCTATTGTTGTTTACACCCTTATCCTATCGTCTCTGGTGGCCATTGTTGATTTATTTATATCTTCCTCATTAAAGGGAGATAATTAAGGAATCATTCATGGAAAACTTTGTGACATTTCCCTATAATCCTAATAGTTATATACATAAACCATAGTAATGGTTCAAACTGTCTAGAATAACTAACTGGCATTACCCTATAATTCTATTCATTGCATATATGCAACTGAGAAATGTGGATAAATATCTATAATTACATACCAGCATTCCATTCTAATTATAAATATTATACAGATACAAGTAAGAAATGTTTCTCAGTATCTATAATAACTTACTAGCATTTCCCTCTAGTCCTAGAACCTGTTTATATCCACCATGAGTGAGGACACGTAATAATGTTTGTGATGTAAAGCATACTTGATCTTGTTGTTCTAGCGTCATCACTGTGTGAACTCTGACTGCACCTTGTTCACAGGGATCTGTAATTCCTACAGAACCTGGTAGGAAAAATCCTGCTGACATTAATTGTAAACATCTCCTGTAATTATATAATAAAATTATGACAAATTTGTTTACCCATTCTGAACACTGGCAGGACCAGGAGTCTGTTACATCTACAGGGACAATGATGATGGTTTAATGTCCAAGAACATTTGTGATACTAAAATGAAACTGGCTTTGTGTATGACTAACAAGCTGAGCTAGATTATTTTGTGTAATTGGCCAACCATTCTTTTCAACTGCTAAATGCTGCATGCATAGAGAAGATGAGCTGCAAAAAACAATTTTAAAGTTTGGCATGAGTAGTGCATTATGGGCTTTACTTTAAATGAGCAATATTATGTATAATAACCAGAAAACTTACTTAAAAGCTATGTTGATGGAGATTGGCTGTCTGGCTGGATTGTTCATTATTGAGTAGTGAGCCTGAAAAAAACAGATAATAGTTCCTAAATAAATAACATATTAAAGCAAGAGTTACTGCATAATGATAACACAGATAAATTTTGCCTTTGTACAAATATGTACCTCAAAAACGTACTCAGTTAAATTTTCACTGCACATAAGCGAAACAGTTTCTACAGGAGGTAGCTCTATTTTCAAAGAGCCTTCCATGGGTATAATGTATGTTTTAATTGAATAGCCATAAGTTGGTTTCTAGTATTTCTGACAAAAGCAATACATCAGACTACCAAATCTATTCTATAAACAATAGCCTTACCAGGAGATCTATAATCCATGGTGTCAGAGGTTCAAATCCTTTAAATCTATTCTTCAAATCTCGTAATAATCGTATTAATACTTTTATACTGAAAAGAAACAAGGATACTTTCAAAATATGGTATGGACACTTGTTCAATAATGACTTCAAAATGTCTTTGGTTCATTTTTGTTGGAATGCTGTCTTATTTCGACCAGATATCTCCTTTTATTCAAATAAAAATACTGTAGATTCAGAAATTATTGCGATTTTTGAAGACTAAAACAAAAATGCGAGTTTGATTATTGCGATTTTAGGAAACACTACATAAAAATATATGTATCCGATATCAGAATGCGAGTTTGTATTATTGTGATACTCAACGAGTCACATTATTCGCATTAATAAAAACCTCGAAATAACTTCTAAGTTTACAGTAAACAGTGTTCTATTGTTGAACTGTACCAGGTAAGGGGAAGGGTTGACATTCTTGATGCCATTCTTTATGTGCCTGTCCAAAGCAGGGATTTTTTTGTTCAGTGGTTTATTGTTGTTGCTTTCCATCTGGCAAAATTGTTTTTTTAAATAAATCTAAAACTACTTTTCTCTTTTGAACTGATTCATGTTTTGTTATTCTAGAACGTTTTTAGTTATTTTGATCATTTTTTAAAGCCATATGGTGACCTGTAGTTGTTTTCATCTTTGGTGGATAATTGGGTCGCGAGCAATCATACGACATCTCATTAATTCTATATTATTTAATTTTGGATGTAACATGTCCATGGTGATGATACCATAGGACATGCCTCTCTATAATCTTTTTAAGATTGTTCACTAAAAATTCTTTCATCAGGTCAAAACACATCATGCATACACACAGAAAATTTTTAGTGGATGTTAAATTAAACTTATAATTATGAAAAGCTTTTTTTTTAAACTTAATTTTCATAAATCTTAATTCACTTGAAATTTTTTACTTATATACTATTCATAAGTGTACTTATTTCAATTTTACCTAGAATGACAAGCATTTTCCTCCACCCATCTTGCATGTCTTATACCTGCTAAGTGTGCCTGCATTAATTTACCATCCACTGAAAAAATTATTAAACTTTTAATGAGCAAGAAGGGGCCTTGGTGGCCGATTGGTCTAAGTAGTAGAACTACTGTATCTCTAGCCAGTCAACACTAAGGTTGTGAGTTAAAATCCTGCATGGGGCATGTGCAGTCGACTCCAATCTTAATTAACTAGGATTGTCAGTTTTCCTACCGAAGGCAGGTGGTTCTCTCTGGCTTCCTCCACCAATAAAAACTGACCACACGAAATAGCACAATAGTGTTGAAAATGGCATTAAACACCAATCAATCAATTTTATGAGCAGCTCATATATACAACACCCTAAAAAATTATGATGACATATATTCCCTCCTGAAAACATGGTCCCTCATTTTAGATTTTGTCTGATGATGTAGTGGAAGTCTTCATCAAAATTTGAGGAGAATCCAAGAAAAATTAAGGGTGCTATCCTGGCAAAGATAGCACTGATGGGGGATGGGTAGGTAAAAATTATCATACCTTCTGCAACTTTGTTGATAGAGGTATAAAAATTTGTTGTGTGGGGTAAACAACTATGTAATAGGTTTTGATAGGTCATGCTATGAGTTTGAGTTATTTCCCTTGGCTGCCATTTGGAGGGGTAACTGGTTGATTTTCCTATTTGACTATCCAACTTGAAACATGTGGTAAAAGTCTGATAAAGATCCTTGCTAGATTGTAGTTTTGAATCAAGCAAGGAAATAAGAATTGTTCGGAAAACAACTTGTTCTTAGGTCTAGCGGTCAGTAAACAAGTTGAATTTGGCTGATTTATGAGAAATTTGTGCACTTATACCTCCACAACGGCGACAAAAGGGAAGAAAATCTTGCTAAAATTGTGTCAATTGAAACCAATCTATAGTAGCATTTCTCATGCTGTAAAGATAAACATGCAGATTTGTTCCTTTCATGCCATGGTATTTTAGCTTAATAGTTCACGGACAATGCATTTGAATAAGACAATTAAGATTTCCCTAAGGAAATATTTCAATTCAGGAATCAACTGTTTTATTGAAAATATCTTGTGTACATATATATGCAGAGATTTATATATGGGTTCATGTGTTTCAGTCTCATCATCTAGTTCATTTCAATGCATAGGATATGATAAATGATGTGGTATAATTCTGGTGTGTAGTGAACCTACTTAGTGTATTGAAATATCTTATTAAAATGTTTTCTCTTTTATCGCGATTTAAAAATATTCATATTTGGAATTTGAAGAGACCACCTTGTCTACATTCTGTTCTAAGATTCATAATTCTGGATATAAAAGAAAAATTATTTGGAGTTCATTTATGGTATTTACATATATAGTTTTATGAGATTTTCTCAAAATAAGTGACCGTCAGGACTGGCATATAATTAATGCTGGAAAAGCTCCAAACGCTTACAATGTAAATCTTGTTCTAATTTCTTCAGATTAGGTGGTATAGTTGTGATAAGACATTTTACAGTGGCGTCTGCTGAACTAATCTCAAATCCTGTATCATTGGTCAACATACTCAACACTGAAATATAGTTAAGAAAAAAAATAATGTGAATCATTTCAATTACTTTAGTCTTCTCTTGTATGAGGGGCCTGATGGGTTATTTTTGTTCTTCCTGATCGGCGCATTTTCGCTATCGTGATCCGTTTTTCTACAGATTTTTTTTTTTATATTTTCTTGATCCGTGATCATGGAAATTTATTTTCTGTGAATTGTGATTGACAAAAAAATCAACTCATGAATTGTGATGAGACCCCCCCATCAGGCCCCTCTTGTATCATGTCTGCAGCATATCCACAATGTAACATAAACAGAATTGTTTTTTTTTCACAATTCCAATATTTTTAATAGTAATGTATGAAATCATAAAACATTTGGAAAATTGTCGAGTCTTGGGTTTCCCGAATTTTGGACCCACATGACAAAAAAATCTTACAGATGAAATAAAAAGAATTTGTAGAAAATTAAAGAATGTCATGAAGTTTTTACGAAAATGTTATCTGCTTTTTGGTTTTATGATTTTACAAAATGTTAAGCATAAGTCCTTGGTGTGTGGTTACACTGTTTCATATCGACATGTCATGTTGACTTTGACTGTACACCTAACCAATTTGGTTTTCACTATGTAAAATAGCCAATAAATTAATTTTATTGATTTCTCCTTTACTAACAACACTAACCTTCCTGAGGATCTGTTAATTTCATATCTTCTACTATTTTATTTCCTAGTGCAGCCACAGCTTCCTCTGCAAAAAAACAAAAACAACTTTTCTATCATGGTTTCATATGTTTGACTTTTTCACCACTGTAAAGTTCCATATTAAAGTTAGAAATGATGAAAAAAAGAATATTTTTAAAACAGAAATGTCCATGATTTATAAACTAATAAATAAATTTGGTGTATTTACTGTCTTCTGATTGGTTAAAAGTATTACCTTCATTTTCAATGTTGTCAATTTTTATGGCGACACGCCCACTCTGACGTTGTGTATTCATACGCCAACATGTGTGTACGTTGTTATTGTTAATATAAATAATATAAAAAGCTCTTACAGCCTTATTTTTGATAGAAATTTATTTATAATGAATGACAATAATTTATTTTGAATTTATTGAACTATAAAATTAATTTTTGACTCTTCACATTTTACATAATCTGCTTCGCGGATTATTCAATGTGATGAAGAGTCAAAAATTAATTTTATTGTTCAATAAATTCCAAATAAATAATAGCCATTCATTAAATAGAATAATAAAGTACCCCAAAAAATTGCAAACAATAATTTTACTCTCCATGTTTCATCACTAAGCAATTCCCCACTTTCTAAAACTAATTCCACATAAAACTCTGCAAATTATGGGCACAAAACTTTACGAAACATAACTAGAGGCTCTAAAGAGCCTGTGTCGCTCACCTTGGTCTATGTGCATATTAAACAAAGGACACAGATGGATTCATGACAAAATTGTGTTTTGGTGATGTGTTTGTAGATCTTACTTTACTGAACATTCTTGCTCCTTACTATTATCTCTATCTATAATGAACTTGGCCCGGTAGTTACAGTGGAAAATACTTTGTAAAAATTTACAAAAATTTACAAAATTTATGAAAATTGTAAAAAATTGACTATAAAGAGCAATAACTCCTAAAGGGGTCAATTGACAATTTTGGTCATGTTGCCTTATTTGTAGATCTAACTTTGCTGTACATTATTGCTGTTAACAGTTTATCTCTATCTATAACAATATTCAAGATAATTACCAAAAGCTGCAAAATTTTCTTAAAATTACCAATTCAGGGGCAGCAACCCAACAACGGGTTGCCTGATTGGTCTGAAAATTTCAGGGCAGATAGATCTTGACCTAATGAACAATTTTATCCCATCAGATTTGCTCTAAATGCTTTGGTTTCAGAGATATGAGCCAAAAACTGCATTTTACCCTATGTACTATTTTTTAGCCATGTCGGCCATCTTGGTTCGCGGGCGGGGTCATAGGACACATTTTTTAAACTAGATACCCTAATGATGATTGTGGACAAGTTTGGTTAAATTTGTCTTAGTAGTTTCAGAGGAGAAGATTTTTGTAAAAAATTACAAAAAATTACGAAAAATGGTTAAAAATTGACTATAAAGGGCAATAACTCCTTAAGGGGTCAACTGACCATTTTGGTCAAGTTGACTTATTTGTAGATCTTACTTTGCTGAACATTATTGCTGTTTACAGTTTATCTCTATCTATAATAATGTTCAAGATAATAACCAAAAACTGCAAAATTTCCTTAAAATCACAAATTCAGGGGCAGCAACCCAACAACGGGTTGCCTGATTGGTCTGAAAATTTCAGGGCAGATAGATCTTGACCTAATGTACAATTTTATCCTTATCAGATTTGCTCTTAATGCTTTAGTTTCAGAGATATGAGCCAAAAACTGCATTTTACCCTATGTACTATTTTTTAGCCATGTCGGCCATCTTGGTTCGCGGGCGGGGTCATCGGACACATTTTTTAAACTAGATACCCTAATGATGATTGTGGACAAGTTTGGTTAAATTGGTCTTAGTAGTTTCAGAGGAGAAGATTTTTGTAAAAGATTACAAAAATTTACGAAAAATGGTTAAAAATTGACTATAAAGGGCAATAACTCCTTAAGGGGTCAAATGACCATTTTGGTCAAGTTGACTTATTTGTAGATCTTACTTTGCTGAACATCATTGCTGTTTACAGTTTATCTCTTTCTATAATAATGTTCAAGATAATTACCAAAAACTGCAAAATTTCCTTAAAATTACCAATTCAGGGGCAGCAACCCAACAACGGGTTGTCCGATTCATCTGAAAATTTCAGGGCAGATAGATCTTGACCTGATAAACAATTTTACCCCATGTCAGATTTGCTCTAAATGCTTTGGTTTCAGAGATATAAGCCAAAATCTACATTTTACCCCTATGTTCTATTTTTAGCCATGGTGGCCATCTTGGTTGGTTGGCCGGGTCACCGGACACATTTTTTAAACTAGATACCCCAATGATGATTGTGGCCAAGCTTGGTCAAATTTGGCCTAGTAGTTTCAGAGGAGAAGGTTTTTGTAAAAGTTTACGGACGACGGACAAAGGACGCAGGATGACGGACGACGGACGCCAAGTGATGAGAAAAGCTCACTTGACCTTTCAGGTCAGGTGAGCTAAAAAGGAACTACAAAAACTAAAACAAGAGACAATTCAAAGATCAAAATTTAAAACACAAAAAGATCAAAATGAAGCAACACATGTGACAACATTACATAATTAAATTTTCAAAGCCTGTATTAACATTATTTTGCACATATTACTATAAAGAAATCTGCAACTCATAAATATTTCTGTATACTTGACCAATTTTTCTCTCACATTTACGTAATTTTCTAAAATCCTGCTAGTTTTCAAAGTAATTTCAGATAATGGTTTAGGTTTTATAGATATATCATGTATATAGTGCATATCACTTTAAAACATATTGAACTTCTCAACATAATAAACTGAACAAAACTTGTAGATCTACTTACTAATTTTACATTCTTGACATAATAAAGACAGACATATTTACAACATGTTTCTAATGAGTATGTCCTACACTTAATGATTATTTTTCTGTTTATCGTATATTTCTGTTATTCAGTTGTATTTTTTTTAAATAATATAGAATAATAAGATGTGGTATGATTGTCAGAGAGACAACTATCCACCAGAGATTTTGTATTAATAAAATATTGTCTACAATAAGTGTTGTTATTATATGAAGAACTCAATGCACGTAAATTTGATGTGTAATACAACCACTGACAATTGTTTGGTGAATAGACGGTGATGATATTTATATCAGTCAAGTATATATGTTATATGGGTTTTACCAGTCAGGGGCATGACTTAAACAAGTAACTTTTTTTTAGTTACTTATATAGGTAATTTTTGTTTTTAAAAATTATAAAATTACTCAATAGAGTTATTTTAAATTTCAATAGAAGCATGGACTACATGTAGTTTTTATGAATTTTTACATCATTTTATATCATAAAATAAAGAATTTATTTGATTTGAGAGGAGTATAGACATAAAGTGTTACTTTAAAAATAATGACAAAAATGTTACTTGAATAAGTTATTTCATACATCTTTGAAAGAATTAGTAATAGCACTTATTTAAGGAACATATGTAATTGTTTTGGGTTACAAATTATAAATAACTTCAAGTCTTAATTAATTCACAAGTTTCTATCTATGTATATCTGTCTACCTTCAAGATTTTCAAGGAAAACAATATTTTAATAGTCCCAAGAGACCAATCTTTGACCCAGAAGCGTCGATATGAAAGATAAGTGTGTCAGAAAGGCAATTAATGTTTCAGAAGGATTAGATTTTATATTTCATGGGAAAGATAACCAGATGACTGTAAAAATTTGTTAAAACTAGTAAAATTTGCATAATTGGACACCTATAAAAATAATATTTAGAAAAGTTACTTATATAAGTATTTTTTAAAATAGCCTCGTTTTCAACATTACTTGTATAGGTAATTTTAAAAGTTACTTGTTTAAGTAATGCCCCTGACTGTTTACCAAAACACAAATTTTATCAACCTTCTACCAATCTAATAGAGCTCTCAGAATTATCTTGATTTCTAATGGTAGGATATGAAAAACCCTTATAACTTGTATAAAATCCTCATTGAATTGACTTCTTTCTCAAGAGGTAAAATAAAAGAAAAGAACAGCATTCCAATGTCAATTACCAATGCTCATAGTTTATCTGTCTAAGGGAAATAACTCAAAAACTATTTGGGTTAATTTATTCAAAACTTCTTTCATCATTATCCCACACAAAATAAAGAAGTGTAAGATAACCAAGTTGACAACTAACATTGGGCAAGAGATAGCTTATAATTTTTTCCCCTCATAATTTCTATTTCCAAGGGGCATTAAGGATGTAAACAGTAAATCTAAGCTTAATATCAATCTCTTATTGCTGATATAAACCTTTGATATAAATTTCAAAATAATCCTCCAAGAAATGTATGCTTGAAAGGGAAAACAACACAATTTTCAAAATGTAATTAAAAATTTTAAGGGGCATAACTTCTAAAAAAAAAAGTACCTACATAGATTGTAGAAATTATCCAATACATTTCTGAAATAAACCTTTAATATGGATTTTCTACAAATTTAGAAAAGAATCGTACACATATATAGGATGCAGATGCATGGACAGGGGTTTGTATACTTTAACTCACGTACAGCATTGTGGCATAGGACAAAAGCGTTAAGTATACTATAAAAAAAAACTTGCAGTGATCACATTATGTTATCTTAAAATCAAAAATCTTAAGGACTTTGATTCAAAGAACAAGTATTATATCTTTTTCCATTTTGTAGTTTGTACCCTATAATGAAGCTTTCAGTTTAAGTGAATAAATATAACCCCTCTATACTTACTGGTAGGTAAAGTTTTTAACATTACAACTATATCAGCTACATTGTGTCCAGCCATCATTGTTCCCTTCTTAAAAGAACCAATCTGTCGGACCTCTTCTATTTGCTGAAATGTCAATATTTATATAGTAATATGGGGACTGTAGTAGAATAGAGTTTGATTAAACAAACATGTGATTATTGTTTTGCAAGATCATATTATTGTTATTAAAATTTAAAACTAGAAAAATAAATGGTCAGTATTTATTATTCAGTACTTCTAACAGCACACTACCCTAAGTGCTATACAACATAATATCAAGCCTTGTTTAATGGATGCCTCTATAAAAGAATTTTGTGATGATGGCAAAGTCTTTGGTAGTCTTTACAAAATACAATTGATACAAATATGAACTTAAGAGAATTTGAAGGATGATATATGGCATAGACACTTGTCATTTGTAGAAGAAAGAACGACACATTAATACCTATGTTGTATGATTGCCAATGCGACAACTATCCACCAAAGTTCAAATGATGTGTACGTAAATATATACAGGACACAGTACAACTTTCTACTCTGAGAAAAACACAATACTGTATCACCTATAAAAGGCTCTTAAGGTGGTACCTAACATTACAGGGAGATAACTCTGTAAAAATCAGCTAAACGTTTTAATTACGTTGTATTGTTAAGGAAATATTAAGCTTCTCAGTGATCAAAATTAGTGTTTGTCAAACTGCTATATAACCAATGAAATTTTTCTGATAAAGTGGTTGGTTCAAATTATTTGAAATTTTTATATTTTTGTCAAAGGGTCAAAGTAAATACTTTGTCAAAATTTTATGAAAATTAAACGAGCCAAATTAATATTAGTCAAGGTGTTGGGTACCACCTTAAAAGAAAAATATGAAACAATTTAAACAGGAAAACTAGCTTACATCATTAAATTTCTTTTACTGTTGTTAATGTATTTTTATGATTCTGACCCGTTAACCTATCCAGCAAATTTTTTAATTCATGTTATAAATACATACCGCAGGTTCAAATGTTGCTGGTGTTAAAACCAAAGCATCTAATGCACCTTGAATCTTTGTTACTAAGGACAATATGGCTGACTGTTCTGTTGCTGATGGTGTTAGGTCATTATGTCTTTTAAGCAGGGCCTGAAAAAGATAAAATGTTCAACATTAAAACAGTACACTGATTCATTCAAATTAGGCCTAAGAAAAGATAGAATGACACTGTTTATCAGTTCATATGAGGCCAAATAAAAAAAAGATGTGTGTTTCCTATTACGGTACCCAGCCTATTTTTTAAGCTAAAAGTAGCCTACCCTAAAAAAAAATTTGTAATTTTTCAATAAGCACTGTTAAAGTCAGAATGTCCCTCCCATAGACTCAAGGTAAAAAAAAAAGGTAAAACAAAAAAAAAATCCCTACCGACCTACCCTATGTTTTTCAAAGATGTAATAGGAAACACACTTATTATTTTTTTGGGCCTGATGATATTTTATTGTTCAAAATTATTTTTTTTAAATAAAGTTTCTGTATATATCAATGGTGCACAATTAAAACAAAACCACACTTGTCATATCGTGCTTTTAAAATTTTAATATCACAAGAAAAAAATTGCTATCATCAATAAAATACATATATATCAAAATGTGCATGCACTCAAAAAATTAACTCCTAAAACCTTATCAGCTTGAACAATTTTCGCAGGCCGTGTAAGTAATGCACCTTAATTTTGCAGCTTACCCAAGTAGTTAGATAATGCGATATAAATGGTTGAGAACTTGTCAAGCTTGGATCCTCTCTTACATGAATATTAAAAAAATTAAGTACTAAGAATAGTAGTGAAAATAAATTGTCAGAAATAATCAAGAATAAGTAAACAGGAAAAAAAGAATCCGTAAAATAAGTTGAGGGTTGAGATCTCAAAAAACATGTTTACTGTCTTTTGGTATGTATAGTGCGCACATTTATACCCTGGGTCATGTTTCTTGTAAGAGGGGTGCGCAGTATACATGCATACAAACATTTTCTTAGCCTTTTTTCAGGTCCGAACTCCGACAAAAGAAAAAAACAGGTGAAGTGAAGAGTACGGAATTTTTCGCTAATACCTCGACTTTTATTATGTTATATTTGTAATATGTATCTTATTGTATTTGATATCTCATGTTTTATTCAAATAAAATACATTTTATATCTCTGTAGTTACGTTCGTTTATCGTGTAAATTTGTCCATCTGTTTGCAATCCGGAAGTTTGTCATGTCTTAATAAAGACACCATGAAGCTTTTGTTGTCGGTTAATTTAGGCTCTGTGTTTCTTGTGGTCATAACTTACTGTTTTGTATGTTTTCATCATGGAGAGTAGAAGATAAGTGTATGAAAATTGAATAAACCACGCTCGTTTTGAAAAGATAAACCGCCATTTTTTTTAATGTATCAGGTGATCGCCAGTCATGTGACTTAATATTGTAAAGTGATGATTTAGTCTATGAGAAGTTTTTTTTTTTATAAATACGTTTCTACTTTGTAATTTTTAAACAGTAACAACTGTTTAAAACCTTTAAAAGAAATTATGATTGAAAACATGATTATCCCATAATTGTAACCTGAACGAATTTAATTAGGAACAAGGTGAACCTGTCATTGATTGTTTTGACATCAATTAGACCCATTGATTGAGGTGTGATAATCCGGATTAACAGCTAGAATCAACAAACAAAAATAAAAATTATGAGATTTTAACAATTTATTTCAGCACTAATTCATCACATAAAATTAAATAATTCAAGAAAATACAATTTCGTATTAATTACGTATTCTGTACGGAATTCACCGACATCGGTGACCATTTAAAAAACTTCCAGTTTAGACTTCCTGTTTGCCAACACAAACGACAAACATTAACTCGTGGGTTATAAAAAGAAGATAACTATTAAAATTCTTTATTCAGCTACAATAAATTCATTCCATGATATTAATCATGACTTCTCATTAATTCCTTGCCGAAAAAAATCACGCTCAAGCAACATTTTACCGATTTTGGAGCTGTGACTTTTCCGAAAATGTCTATGTGTATTATACGATTAAGAAACTTTTTTTTCTCAAGTTTCTTGGACCATAAAGGGGATGGGCACAATACACAAATGCGCACTATGCATACCAAAAGACGGTAACCCAATTAATGCATTTTTGTGCATGTCCAAAGTCAGGAGCCTCTGGCCTATGTTAGTCTTGTATGATTTTTAAATTAAGTTCATTTATATATTTCGGAGTTTAGTACGACGTCCATTATCACTGAATTAGTACACATTTTTGCTTAGGGGCCAGCTGAAGCACACCTCCGGGTGTGGGATTTTCTCGCTGAATTGAAGACCCATTGGTTGCCTTCGGCTGTTTTCTGCTTTTTGGTCGGGTTATTGTCTCTTTGACACATTCCCCATTCCCATTCTCAATTTTATGGTTTACTGTAAATGGATGGCATACTTACATCTGTGAAGCTTTTATCATCTGGTGCTGGCTTAGCTCTTGTAAAAACAGTCTCACACTGTAAATAGTAATATATATATACATGTGTCATACTGGTTATTGTGGATTTATGGTACAATGTACAAATTTTTCATGGTTTGAGCAAAAATTATATTTTCAGTGATATTTGATTTTGAGGTTTTGTCAAAGTCTGCATACAAGTCTACATACAATTTGATAATTTGTTGATCATTTAAATTTGTGCATGAAAATTAGTATCTCAAGAATAATTATGAATCCACCGTAGCATAGAACAAAACACATTTGGAGACGGTTATGAAATTCAACGGTTTTATTTTAAAAAAGAATTTATGGAAACATTCTTAACCATGTTAACAAGGAAGTTTGTGACATCAACCAAAATATCCTAGAACAATGTCATTTCTATAATAACAAATTTTCAAGTGCTTATCAAGAAAGGAACTTCATAAGAAGTTGTGGTCTGTCATATCTTCCGTTATTTTGATACGTGGGTGTTTTTTTATTTGCATATCTTTGACTGTTTCTGAAGTAAAATTTATTCGCATTTTACATAGAATAGTAAGAGTTTAAAACATTGTATATACATATGTTAATTGTTTTGCTCTCTATAAGTCTTTTTATAGATATTATCATTGGGTTGCTGTCTCACTGAGTACAACACATTTTCTTGTTATCATAAGATGATTTAATGTTTAAATTATATATACATTTTTGTATGTGTGAAAACCAGACTTATCCGATAGTTATGTTAAAATAAATTTTTTTAATAAACCTATAATTTTGATGACCTTTACCTGAACTAGATCGAATGGAATATGTGGTATGAAGGCTCTGAATCTGTAAAAAGAAGAGAAAGTATTTTATCCCTTTGTAAAATTATGAATAATGTATTTTTTAAATATGTGCACTTGTTTCAAACTGAAATATACATGTATGCTTAGAAAACTGAATTTCATTCTGAGTTTTAGTTATGTATTCAAAGATATTTAAAACAAAACTATTGTTTAGACACCTGTCTATTGTTTAGGAATGTATTATTGTTGACATCTAGACAGGTTTCACTTTATGAGTGTTTTGTTTTCAGTTGCTGTCTTGAATAGTGAATTCATTATCTCCTTTTATCTGTATCTAAAATTTCACTCTGCAAGATTCCTGATGAAACTAGTGAATACTTTTAATAATTATTCCTCCCACTTTAAAAAACTTTCAAATTTTCTTCTGGCCTCTTCTACATAAACTACAGGTCACACAGATGTTGCAGTTTCCACCTGTATGGTGGGAATGGACAAAACATTCAGATATTCCAATATTGATTATATACAATACCTTGGTAAGTAAAAGCTAATGTATTCAATCCTTTTACAAATTTTTGTGTTAAATATGTGTGGGCTTCCCATAGTCATGATAGTGGGCAGGTGAAAAAAGTGAAATCCACCTGAACTGTAGTGTATTTTGGCTCTGTTATTCATATAACACACAAAGATGGATTTCAGTTTATATTTCGGGTACCTTGTTTTCTACCAAGGGCTCTTTCTTTGAGTAGATTCTGATTTTGACAGACTTCACATGTACTTAAATTTATTTCATAAAAAGTTTACATAGTATCATACATGTACCTCAATAATGACTCATGTGTACTTACGGAGGTCTTGGTCCCATGGGCCTCATCATACCACCTCTCATTGGTCCTCCTCTTCCTCTCATGTGTCTATAATATATAACAGATCTTATTATAAGGTTCAATCTTAATTTCAACACCATAAATAATAACTTCCTGGTAAAATCTATATATTTCCATGTGCATATACCACTGATTGCATTTAACTTTATTTAATTTAGCACTCTGTCATGTCTGTCATGTGCAACTCTAGTATACAAATGTATCTGAATTTTCAATAAGAAACTTGACTAATAATCAAAAATTATCCTTCAACTTATTAGTGTAATTAAATACAGGTGTATCATATCCGATTTGCTTCATAAAAAGTAATCAAAGCAAATTCAATAACGACAGATAAACAATTGGATAACAAAAATGTTTTTTTATTATTTACCATATTTCTATTCAAGTTTACAAATATATTTGTATAAAAAAAATGTAACCCCAGATAGTATGAATATACATGTATGCCTCGAAGGCACAACATTACTTAAAACTGTCTGCATTGTATATTATAGGTTATTCAGGTCTCAGACAGGGTAAATAATGTGACATTTCCGGCTAAGAGTTTATAATTCCCTGAGCGGAAGGTCTGAAACCTGAATTACACATATATTACGGATTACCCCTGTCTTAATGTATTTTTCCAGTACCAGGTATTTATTAAACATTCACCATGTCTGCAGTATAGGCCCTATATATTTTCCTCATACGTGAATGATTTTGTAACTTGCTGTGAAAATAATTCAATCATGTTTGCAATAATTTGTAATAACACTTTAAGACATAAGATAAAGTATTTTAAATTAAAAACATATTATTAACAGCTACACGTCATTATTTTCCCTCTGTGAGCCTCTGACGTTGTGTACTATATTGCTTAAGACTACGTCACATAGTAAGGTTGTTATGATGACGTTGTTGAGGTTAAAATTGGGGTAAAACATGTCGTATATACCCCGGCAGTTTCCTGAATATATACTGACATCTCTGTGTTGTTATCCAATCTCAAAACTCAACACATTTGCAATCCGTAATATATGTATATATTTTAAAGTTAAATGAACAGTATAGTGTGATTTTATTTGGGTTATGGATTAAATGATGATTTCCTCGATCTCCAATATTAAGATTACTTATAGATATAGATATGTATGTATGAAGATCACTCTGTAATAAGGAGCTCCCCTCTATAGCCGCTGCTGGATAACTCAGACTAAAACAAAATCGGCCTATCACAAACTCGGACTATAACAAACTCGGCCTACCATTATTTATATGCGGAAATATATTGAACAAACTCGGACTACGATTAGTAGATTAATTTGTGGGTTTTTTTTTCTCACTTTAATAAAAAACAAACTTTATATATAAAAATTATATACGAATTTTGAGATTATGATAAATATTTTTGAAAAAACAATGTATAGAAATGTATTAAAATAAACTTAGATCCATCATATATGTGTGATATGAGTTGAATTTGATATTTTTGAATGAGGATAATTAACTTCTTTTTGAAATATTATTGTGATTTTCTCATTTATTATTTTTATTGACAAAAGATGTTTTAATGATTGGCATGTGTGCATGTTTGTATTGTGTTTAATCCTTGGTGTTCATAATTAGTATACAAACAAAGAGAAATTTGATTGACAGTGAATGGCTTCTTAACAATTTCACTAATCTGTAATTCTTTATTAACGGATTCACCAATTGAAAAGTAATTATATTTAAATGGTCACATCAAACAGATACAATGTTTTTAGAAAGGCAAGCCGAGGCAAACATTTATTATACATATATCTAAAAATAGATGTGGAGTAAAATTGAAAAAATTCGTAAGGGTTCTGCGGAACCCAGTGTCTCGCCTACTTTTTCTGTTAATCGCAGGCTCAACAAAAATGAGGAAGTAAATCAATAAAAATATTCCTCTTGATACTATCTTTTGATTGTAAGAAGCTTCTGTCCAAGTTTGGTAAAAATCCAGGATAGTTTATGATTCTAATAAATGTTTAAAAACTTTAACTGTAGACTGAATGTAATGTTAACTGGAAAAAAACAAAATTTCCTTCTAGATACTAGCATTTGATCATAAACAAGCTTCTGTCCAAGTTTGGTACAAATCCAAAATAGTATAAGAAAGTTATTAAAATTTTAAAAACTTTAACCACAGAGTGAATATGTTGTTTCCTGGCAGAAAATCTAAGTCCATTTAAAAGTAAAATACGGAAAAAATGGATTTATTTTTTTACAAAATTTCCTTCTAGATACTAGCTTTTGATCATAAACAAGCTTCTGTCCAAGTTTGGTACAAATCCAAAATAGTATAAGAAAGTTATTAAAATTTCAAAAACTTTAACCACAGAGTGAATGTGTTGTTTCCCAGCAGAAAATCTAAGTCCATTTAAAAGTAAAATAAGGAAAAAATGGATTTATTTTTTTACAAAATTTACTTCTAGATACTATATTATGATCATAAACAAGCTTCTGTCCAAGTTTGGTACAAACCCAGGATAGTTTAAGAAAGTTATTAAAATTTTAAAAACTTTAACCACAGAGTGAATGTAATATTTCCCGGCAGAAAAACTAAGTCCATTTATAAGTAAAAACCAGAAAAAATGGAATTTTATTTTTACAAAATTTACTTCTGGATACTATCTTATGATCATAAACAAGCTTCTGTCCAAGTTTGGTAGAAATCCAGGACAGTTTAAGAAAGTTATTAAAATTTCAAAAACTTTAACCACAGAGTGAATATTTGTGGACACCGCCGACGACAACGACGACGACGACGGAATGTAGGATCGCTATGTCTCGCTTTTTCGACTAAAGTCGAAGGCTCGACAAAAAACAACAGAGATTTCTTTTATCTTACCTTATAGTTCTATAAAATAACATGAAAAAAAATCCCCATATCATTCTCAACATGGGTACCGACCACTGAGTCGAGTCTTCCAGAAAAGTGACAACAAAGCAACATGCCTTACAGTGTGATTCGTGTAGTTTATGGCAACACAGAGTTTGTAATACTGGTAAGTGCTTCTATATATTGTTCTTGTTCATAATGATATTGATAAACATTTTACTTGCTATGGATAGAAAAGTATTGCTACATTATTCAATTATTACCATTTGGAAAATAAAGTTGATTGCATGATTTTGCATACTTCTTCTTCTTTGTATAAGCTTCCTATAGGCAGGCTTATAAGGGTTTAATTTATATATATATATGGAGTTTTTGTTGTATTTTTTTTTCCAAGTATGTATGTTTTAAAAACATTAAAAAAGAAGCTTTGGCTGACATTATATATAATTTTGAATATGTCTAAATGAATACTTAAAATCTAAAACATAGCTCTTTCATTATATAATGTTTAAGAATACGATTATATATAATTGTTATGATTGAAGTGAAAACAAAAAATACATAATTTGTATAAGTGACTTCTGGTATTAAAATTATAAAGTATTTTTTTTTAAATAATGTTGTTACTTCTTCAGGTATCACAATGAAGGAGTATCGTTCTATGATGCAAAGTGAAGAGACCATTAATTTCATCTGTACCAAGTGCAATGATGTAGAAGAAGAAACAACCAGGTAGGCACTCGTCTAATTGTAATAGTGTGTTTATGTTGAAACTGTAAAGTTGATACATTTTATTTTTAAACAAACATAGCGTTTCATTAGTATATGTATGTATAGAAATCTATAAACATGTGGTATGATTGCCAATGACCAAACATTCAACCAGAGTTGATACATTTAATTTTTTTCCAAACATAGCGTTTCATTAGTTAATGTATATGTAGAAATCTAGAAACATGAAGATGTGGTATGATTGCCAATGACCCCACATCTAACCAGAGATCAATGATACAAGGTGTTCAACTACAGGTCACTTTATAAGAAATGTTCGTTTAATGCATTTATTATGAATTTGTATCTTTAAAAAATTAAATCTTTTATAACTTATTATCATTTATTTCAGTTGCCCAGTCAACTCTAGGCATATTACAGACGTTTCAGACCAACTGATACCGGACTATGGTACCTTCAACCTCTCTGTCATCTCCGCAGCAAATACTACCAACAGCCTCAACACAACCTTCACTATCAGCCGTGAACCAGACCACACAACTGAGGTAGAATCAGACCCAGCAGGTGCTCCAGAGCAAACCATACCAGAACCAGATACTGAACCAAACCTCACAGCAAGTTTTGACGTGACACGTAGACCAATAGAAGATCAGCAAGAAATATTAGAAGAGTAAGTAAATTAAATGTATTATTTAATCTATATATAGGTTGAAAAATGTATAAACAAAAATACCAACGGTATGAAACGCAAACAGCTTTACAACGATCCCTGACTTGGTATTGTTCACATGACATGATTATGATTCAATATATAAACATTGATGTTTTTTGGGTTTTTTTTTTATTTGATTTGATTTATTGCTCATGAAATAGTTTTTTAATATATATGGGTTGATATTTGTAATTGCCAACTAATGTGATATGATCAGTATAATATTCAGGTTGCACTCTAATAAACTATTTATCCATTCATTCATATACTTGATATCTAATTAAACATTTATTTGTGCTTTGACATTGATTACTTATATTTGCATTTGTCTGTCTTATAGATGATGACAAAATGCCTTTGAGTTTTAAAGGTGCTTTATGTCATGTATGTGTTTTATATATGGTTCATATTATTCATATGTAATTAAATATTATTGAATGACGAAATCATTGTTATGTTTGTTGACATCTGCTGAAAAAAAATTTGTAAACCTTGTTTTCTTTAATATATAGTATTACATTGTACAGATAAATCACACTGAGATTCAACCAAACAAAGTATGATCAGAAACATACAATTCACTGCACTGTCTTATAATTACATAAGGTTTGTAATCAAACAAAAAAAAAGGAACCTGAAAATATCAGTTATATACAAGCTGTTACTGTGAAAATACTGGATATTGGATATTTAGTTAATCACAATTTCATGTAATTACAGGTAGTTTTGTTCTCACTTGGGTGATTAGATAGGTGTCAATAGTACACGTGTCAGTTGTTAGTTTATATTATTGTGATTAAAAAGGTGTCAACGATACACGTGGCATGATGTCATATTTCCAGTTGAATCAATTAAGATATGCACATATATGATAAATTATTTTGAGAGAGACATTATTACAAATTATAATACAGAAATACAAATCAGTGGTAGATTTTCGTTATTAAATGAATGTATTCTTAATTTTCTTTTTAAACATATCTTGTTAACGTCATTTATATTACTCGCTTCTAAAATGTTCAAAATAAATTAGTTAATTAATTGTAAATCATTATTATTTTCAAATTAAGTATTGATAATTAGTTTCCAATAAAAACAAAATAAAACATCATACTTATATTCCTCTAGTAGTCCAAGTTTGGTATAGTTCGAGTTTGTTATAGTCCGATTATGTTATAGGCAGAGTTTGTTATAGTAAGATTTTGTTATAGGCCGAGATATCATGAATTCTCTATAGCTAGTTCTATTCATAAAATTCATTTATTTACTTAAATATATAGTTCACTTGTTTTCTTTGCAAGTATTTTTCTAAAACATGTAAAAGGGGCCCATCGACCTAAACAATAGGCTGGAACAAGACAGGAATGTTACAAAGGCAAATTCTCTCTTAAGTCAGAGAAATTTCTAGACAAAGGCAGCTAGTTTTTTTTTATACAATTACAGTTGATCGTCAAATAACAGCTGTCTACTGTCCCAGGGGTTCTGGGATCGAATCTCATTGGTACACTCACTACAATAAATTATGAATTTCGGAAGGCAAATCACGCTCTCCGGTTACAAATGATCACAAATGTTGAAATGGCAAATGCCAAGATTGGCAAGAACTAGTTTCAGTGAAGTTTTGTCTGCTTGCTACCAACTTGCTACACAGTGGGTTTAAAGATAAAGAAATAAGTGCAAATTAATCATATATTCTGTACGTAGATATCAATTAAATCAAATAGTTAAGACATAAACCTCATTGTTTTTAGAATGCCGGCTCACGTTGTTTACGTCCGGATGTTGGTGAAAGCAACGCACGCGTGAGAGAACATTTTCCTATGTTTCCCGGAAAACTTTCGTTCTTCCGTCCGTAGACAATTTTATACACTCTAGTCAATATCCGGTTGTTTTTCACTCGTGGTAAAAAAAATAAAACAGCAAAAAAGGTAAATTTACATGATTATAGAAGAAAATTTGCTAAAGCACTATGTCACTTATACCCGTGAAAGAGAACGAACATGAAAAAAAGAGATATTGGTTATGCGTCAATGAGACAGCAACCCAACCGATGCAGAACGTTTCGGCACAGACACTTGTTTCTATCCATGGGAAGCTCCACTATCAACGTATATAACTCGTAAATATACGTTGATAGTGGATCTTCCCGTGGATAGAAACAAGTGCCTGTGCGTTTCGGCCACTGCTAGTTTGGCCACACTTTGTAAAGTCGTTTCGGCCATAGTTTTTATTGTTATAAAGGAAGGGAAATATAATTGTTTCTAGAAACAGATGTTAAGAAACAAATTGAAAGAAAAAACAATTTTATCACATATTAATTTTTCCTTGATAAAAATGTGTATCAATAGACCACTTTCGAGTTATGTCCTTCCCTAGCCCAAATAATTATGACGTCTTGAAAGGCTATTTTATTTTTATGCTTTGACGCCTTACTACGACGCTTCAAAGTAAAAAAATAAAACAGCCTTTCAAGACGTCAAAATTATTTGGACTAGTCCTTCACCAGAAAAATTCGTCAATTATAACGCCATTAACCAGATAGAGGGGATGGCCTGTATCCCTCCACTATTAAAAGTTTCATTAAACGTCTTTGTGATCGTCATTATGCAGGATAAACTAAAAACAATGTTTGTTCTGTAGGTACTTAATCACAATTCCCTTGTGCATGTTATGACAGCAGTGCTGATGAGCAATTATAAGAATTTAATTTGCCAAATAATTCTTGCAATATATACATGTAGTATCATATTTTTCAACCAACTGCTCAACATGGAAAGGAAGTGACAATGCCCCTAAACGCACGAACAATGTTCTCTAAAACCAAAGATTTGGACGGAAATGCAACGAACTCGAAAGTACAAAAATGTAGTCTATTGAGTGGTTTGAGAAAATTTGTAAAATGGTGATTATTAATAATAAAGAACGTGTTTGATAACCGTAAAAGATATGTCAAATTTGTAATCTAAAAATGCATAATTAAAATTCATTTATCTTTTATTTGTTTTCTATAACAATTATCATTTACCAGTCAGGGGACTTACTTAAATGAGTGATTTTCTAAATCACTGATTCAAGTAACATTATGTCCATGAAGGTTGGAAGTAAGAGTTGTCTTTCTTTAATAATCACCTATTTAAGTAGTAAATTAATCACTAGACTAAGTGATTTAATTTTATTGTATAAGTGATTTAATTTTATTGTAGCTTTAAATATAGAATACTAATGATCCAGGGACTAATTATGTTGCTAAAATTATCAGAACCAACATCTGTGTTGATAGGATGACCGGGTCATGTCAGGTGATGACCTTGTACTAAATCTAGGATAATGACATAAAAATCACTTGTTTAAGTATCATACCTCAATTTCCTTCCAAAAAATCACTTCTTTAAGTATCATTATTTTAATAACCCCCACTAATTTCAACACCCCCGAACAGTGAAATTTTGATCGTGAACAGTAGAATTTTATTACATAACCTATAAGATGAAACCTTGAATTTTACAGGAAAAATAATCCCACTGCTGGGAAAAATCTGTGAAAGTATCAGTTCATTATGTAAAGCCATTTTTATAGCATTTTTTCAACTAAAATAGAATTTGCAGCTAGATGATTGCATCAAAGGCATAAACCTTGCTGCTTAAAAGAAGCAAAAAGTTAATTTTTTTCAATTTTACTAATGAAAAGATATTATCTAAACCTATGTGTTTAAAACTTTGGTAAAACTACAAATCACAATTTGTGACAAAACTTTGAATTTGCTACTTAAATAAGTGATTTAAAAATCACTTATTTCAATAAGTCCCCTGACTGTTTACCATGCTTACTTTTGCTGGTTCAGTGAATTTTACATTTTACCTAGCTGGTCCATTTCAATTGGTCCTGCTTGTAATTTCTACTCAGACTCAGTAAAGTTTATATTTCAAATCACTATATTCGTATGGTCATTCTTCTAATCAGTTTTCTCTGAACAGGTCATATTTTTTATTAATTTGACGTGTTGATCGACTTAAATTTGAAATTCTCAAAATAACCGACCACTCATCCCTATTTTAATGCATATATATATATATCTTAAGATCAATAAAAAAAATGTGGCCAAAACCACTGTGGTCGAACTGGTTGTGTGGCTGAAAGGTCTCCAAAGTAACCCAACCATACCAACCACAGGCACTTGTTTCTATCCATTAGGAGGAATTAACTATCCATACATTGTAAATAATAAGCCTGTGAACCAAATGACAAAATTAGCCAAACAGCATCTTCAGGGCAACATGTACTAGTACTGCAATTTACAAAATATGTCCAGATACTCAGGGGGCAATAACAAATCATATGTCAAATAAAAACAGACAACATTTGTCATTATGGCTAAAAAGTAAACAAGGAAGAGAGAAACAACAATAAAATACTACACGCAGAGCACCAAAAAGGGGGGATGAATTTAGATGATCCTGAAGAGCTAGCAGTTCCAGCTCCACTAGTGACATTCAATGTGTGTCAATTAATCACAATAACTGAATCATGATAATACATTTTTGTTATATAAAAGTTTAAAATGACAGCATGTTTTTTAAGATCTTTTCCCTGTAAAAAAAATCAGATAGCTATAGCATGTCTTGACACTGAAATGAAAAAAGCTGAAAATATTCACATAATTGATGATTTAAGTTATGAATAAATTTAATACAAAAAACAATGAATTATTTGAAATTTGTGTATTCCAGGCAGAATGTAAGATTGATTCAAAGAACATTTATATAAACACAATGGCAGATGAAGTTTCCCTGGATTCATCACCAAGTATGACAGATATAGAGAGGAAAGTTCAGGAGCTCGAAGAACTTTTTAAAGATAGGTACACGGAGAATGATGAGGATTACATGAAGACAGTATCATTCCCATTACCTGACCCACCATGTATCAAAAACTGGTTTGTCAGGCAGCAGAGAGGAAACTGGAACAGGTACCAGATTATGTTGCATTACATTCAACCATTCTTTATAAAATAAAGAGATTTGGTATGATTGCCAATGAGTTCAAATGAAGCTTATTAAAGAAATTATAGGTCCCTGTACGGTCTTCAACAATGAGCATTAAGTAAAGTCAGCTAAAAAAAGGCCCTGATACATGTATGAGCATGATGACAAAACATGAAACAATTTAAAAAAATACCAACAGCCTGATTTATAACAATTTTACAATAAACCATTAACATGATTAACAAATATGACAGACAGCAACCAACAACAACAACCACTGCATTACAGGCTCCTGACATATGACAGGCACATATAGAATGTGTCGGGGTTTAACATGTTTATGAGTGCTCAACCCTCCCCTAACCTGGGACAGTGGTGTAACAGCACAACGTAAGAACAAACTGTAAAAATCAGTTTGATAATGCTTGACTCATCAGATCGGCAAGTAGAATAAAAAAAAAAAATGATGTAAAGACATAAGACAAGAATTGCCATGGATCTTGGCGTACTCAAAGTTATTTGTATAAGAGAACATGTATAAAATGCTTCATGGACGGAGATGTCTATTGTCTTTGTAGTTCTTGGCATTGGTTTACTTTGTCATTAACCTATACCTCGTATTAATCATATTGTACAGAGGCAGACAAACTATATTTTGGCATCAGTGATAGAAAGGCAGATAAGCTATTTTTAGACTTCAGTGATAGAAAGGCAGATAAGCTATTTTTAGACTTCAGTGATAGAAAGGCAGACAAGCTATTTTTAGACTTCAGTGATAGAAGGGCAGAGAAGCTATTTTTAGACTTCAGTGATAGAAAGGCAGACAAGCTATTTTTAGACTTCAGTGATAGAAGGGCAGACAAGCTATTTTTAGACCAGTGATAGAAAGGCAGATAAGCTATTTTTAGACTTCAGTGATAAAAAGGCAGACAAGCTATTTTTAGACTTCAGTGATAGAAGGGCAGACAAGCTATTTTTAGACTTCAGTGATAGAAAGGCAGACAAGCTATTTTTAGACTTCAGTGATAGAAAGGCAGACAAACTATTTTTAGACTTCAGTGATAGAAAGGCAGACAAGCTATTTTTAGGCTTCAGTGATAGAAAGGCAGACAAACTATTTTTAGACTTCAGTGATAGAAAGGCAGATAAGCTATTTTTTTTTAATTAATGTTGCAAATTATTACTAACATGACAAGGCAGACTTTGTTGCTTACTTCTACATCATATGGTCTCTTGTGGTGATTTGTCTCATTGGCAATCATATCATATCTTTTTTTTTTTTTTCAAAGTTAAAAAAAAATAGAATTAAAAAATGAAGACTTCATCAGTTGTCTTCAATATGTTAGAATATAGATCATGTATCCATGCTTTGGTTACAAGGATCTGACAACACTTCATTCCCTCATAAATTTTACCATCCCCTTTTCCTTGCTTTCTTACATATTAAGTTTTAACTGTTTGTGTCATACATGTTCATATGTATGTAATCAGTATCTTCCATATATTTGATTTCCAGTAGTTAAAATGGTGATTGAAATATAATTTCTTTTTGGTGTATCCATGGCACTATTTACATCCATTTGCTATAAAATATTGCAAAAAAAGGTGTGAAGGAGTCACATATTTCCCCAAAATTTGTTAAAAAGTAGAATTTCAATCCCTTGGAATGATACCTTTTCTTTTTCTGAAACTTATTACATATATCTATCAAGAGATCAAACAAAAATGATATGTCTATTATCATGTTCATCTCCTTTTTCATAAAATTGCGTCAAAAAGTGTGTGTAAAAAAAAAAGTGTTTGTAAACATTACAATAATTTCTGGACCTATGGCAGGTCAGGGTTATGAAAATAAGAACAGTCAAACAGGAAAATGGCCCATAAAAAATTTAAGAATAATCTTGATGTTCCTATAAACCCACTTTGAAGGCTTAATTAGTCAACAGCTGTCTAAAAATGAATTTTATTGCACAATAGCTTTCATATTTGAAAAATCCACAGGGACCAAAATGTGAAACCACACTATTAACTGTGTGTTGCTACCTTATGTTATTGTAATGATTGTAAAAGCCGTGTATCATTACTTAAACACCAGAGGATCCTAAAACCTCTTTAAATCAGAAAGTAGAATGCAGCGTTTTCAATTTCAATTTTACATACTGCTAACTGTTTTTTTTTTCTAGAGGAGGAGGAGGAGGATACAGAGGTTCTGGAGACAGACGATATGATGATCGTTATAGAGACAATTACCGTGGTAACAGAGATTCCGGAGACAGACGTTATGATGATCGCAATAGAGACAATTACCATGGTAACAGAGATTCAGGAGACAGACGTTATGATGATAGAAATAGAGACACTTACCATGGTAACAGAGGTGGTTACCATGGAAACCAAGGACAAGATCATCATTCACATAGAGGTGGCCGCCATCAAAGAAATGATAATTATGGGAATAGAGGACGACATGATCAGAGATATAATCCTTATTAACTTGTTGGCTGCCATGTGAATTTCATGTTTATCCACCATTTTATATAATTGTGCCGTAATGAATCATGATGTTGACCATGTCATTCTGTCCCAGAAAAGTTTGTTTTCATTTCAATTACATATTGTCATACGTTGTTTTCTTTTTTGAGAAATAAATGTGATGTTTTCTAAGTATCATGTATTATTAACTGACCAAGTACTTTTTTTTTTACCTCATCTGGACCTTGTGAATAATTAGTAATTGTTTCCATCATAGTCAATTATCGAAAAACCGTTAAAAAAATTGGCCTCTAAAACCACTGGACCAATTTCAACCAGACTTATACTGAGTGACCCTAATGGTATCTGGTATACATTTTGTGATTTTTATCTTTCGATTCAACAAACATGGCCAAAAACAAAACGTAAGGGAAAAATGCAAATAATTATGGAATATCTTGAAAACAATAATTGATAGAGAAATCTGACAGGGCAAAAATACTCATAATGTCAAGGTATAACTACTTTACATTTCCCTTTATTTAACCTTTTTTTGTGTGTTTTTTTTGCAATTATCTTAAAAACTATACGTCATGTAATTGATAGAGAGAAATTGTAAATTGTAGAAAGTAAAAATATCAGCAAATGAAGATCCTTATATTAGTTATTGCCCTTAAATTATAAGTGTAAACAATGTTTTGCTTTTTTCTTGAAAGTTGTAACAGAGATAAATAAAAAAAAACATTTTTCAACATAAATTTTCAGGAAGATAAGATCTGGATCTAAGTCAACACATAAAAAATCATAGGACTTACATAGATTTTTACCAAAATATTTACCATGAATGGCAATTTTTAAGTATTCTTTAATTTGCATTTTGGCAATTTTCTTGAAAACTATGATAGATTTGGAGAAACTGTTCATTGGAGAATAATGCTCACAAAAAAACTTTAATAAATGACTTGAGTAAATTCCACTGTTGAGCATAATCACGATAATAAAGGTAGAAAACCTTGTTGAGATCAAAATAATAATAGTAATAGAAAACAGATACTTTATAATCAGAAATTTTGGGTGCATTTATTATTGTGATTGTTGGACAAAGGACACAAATACGAGATAAATTATTGCCATTTCAGGAAATTCTACATACAAATTATGCTATCAAAATTTTAAATGTGAGTTCTTATTTTTGTGACACCTATTTCTTCACAATTTTTGCAATATTAATAACATTGCAAAAAATTCTGAATTACAAATATTTATATTGTGTGTGGTATGGAGAGGATTGATTGTGTCGTCCCATGGATTTAAATGAACGTGGCTTAAATAAATATATTTATCATTCTTGCATATCCGTAAATATGAAAATTTGCAGTAGTTGAAAGGACAAGTCGCAGTTTCTATGCAGTAGTATCACACATTATGACAAGTTCAGTATGTATTTTAGCAGGCCACAAACAATTGTTAAGGTAGTATTGGTGTCGTCAGCCATCTTGGATTGTAAGAAGGCAAAACACAATAGGTCTAGAATTTTAATTAGGTCAGCACAATTCAATGCAGGAATGCAACTTACTAATGAGAATTTTCATTTAAATGAACAAATTAATGTGATCATAGGTTATTATCACCCATATTTTTAGAAAAGTAGATATTTTTGTTTGATTTTTAAATGTTAAAACTTTGCTTATTAAAGGGAGATAACCCAGAAAAGGGATAACTTTTAAAGGAATCTTCATGATATTTTTTCTATTTTATGTTATAGCAGGAAAAAACTTATGGCAACCCCATTTTTAGCTCACCTGGGCCCGAAGGGCCTTATGTGAGCTTATGCCATCACTTGGCGTCCGTCGTCTGTTGTTGTCGTCTGTTGTCGTCTGTTGTCGTCTGTCGTCGTAAACTATTTCAAAAATCTTCTCCTCTGAAACTACTGGGCCAAATACCTTCAAATTTTAACTAAATGTTCCTTAGGGGATCTAGTTTATAAATTGTATCCGAAGTTTTGATCCATCGACAAACATGGCCGCCATGGCTAAAAATAGAACATACGGGTCAAATGCAGTTTTTGGCTTATATCTCAAAAACTAAAGCTTTTAGAGCAAATCTGACATCAGATAAAATTGTTCAATTGGTCAAGATCTATCAGCCCTGAAATTATCAGACGAATCGAACAACCCATTATTGGGTTGCTGCCACCAAATTGGTAGTTTTTAACAAAATTTTGCAGTTTTTTGTTATTATTTTGAATATTATTATAGATATATATAAACTGTAAGCAGCAATAATGTTCAGCAAAGTAAGATCTACAAAAAAGTTAATGTGACCATAATTGTCAATTGACCCCTTAAGGAGTTATTGCCCTTTAAAGACAATTTTACACAATTTGTTCATCAGGTTTGCTAACATTTAAAAATCTTCTCCTCTGAAACTACTGGGCCAATTACCTTCAAACTTTAACTAAATGTTCCTTAGGGTATCTTGTTTATAAATTGTATCCGAAGTTTGTATCCATCGACAAACATGGCAGCCATGGCTAAAAATAGAACATAAGGGTCAAATGCAGTTTTTGGCTTATATCTCAAAAACTAAATCTTTTAGAGCAAATGTGACATGGGGTAAAATTGTTTAATTGGTCAAGATCTATCGGCCCTGAAATTATCAGACGAATCGAACAACCCATTATTGGGTTGCTGCCACCGAATTGGTAGTTTTAACAAAATTTTGCAGTTTTTTGTTATTATTTTGAATATTATTATAGATATATATAAACTGTAAGCAGCAATAATGTTCAGCAAAGTAAGATCTAAAAAAGTTAATATGACCAAAATTGTCAATTGACCCTTAAGGAGTTATTGCCCTTTAAAGACAATTTTACACAATTTGTTCAAGTTTGCTAACATTTAAAAATCTTCTCCTCTGAAATACAGGTGAGCGATTCAGGCTCTTGAGAGCCTCTTGTTTTGTTGATGTTCTGAAAGCATTTCTGTTTGAATGGTTTTACACTAGTCATTTTGGGGCCCTTTATAGCTTGCTGTTCGGTGTGAGCCTAGGCTCTCTGTTGAAGGCCGTTCTTCGACCTATAATTGTTAACTTTTTATACATTGTGACTTGGATGGCACTCATACCACATCTTCTTATTTATATGTTCTTCAGGTAGGGTTCACCTGACCTCAACCTCTTTTCATGGATCAGTGATCAAGGTTAAAGTTACATGGTAAAGTCCATATCTCAGATACTATAAGCATGAGGTCAACTATATTTGTTGTATGGAATGATTGTAAGGTGTACATGTCCGACTGACAGGTTTCTTCTGACCTTGACCTTGATTTTATGGTTTATTGGACAATGTTTAGTTTCTGTGGTTTGGTCTATATCTCAGATATTAGATGCAATAGATGCAATTATTTTTGGTGTATGAAATGATTGTAAGCTGTGCATTTCTGTCAGACATGGTTCATACAACCTTGACCACATTTTCATGGTTCAGTGGTCATGATAAGTTTTTGTAATTTTGTCTGTTTATCAGATACCATAAGCAATAGGTCAACTATATTTGTTGTATGGAATGAGTATAAGGTGTACATGTCTGTCTGGCAGGGTTCATATGACTTTCTCTTCATTTGCAGGGTTCATTGGACAACATTTAGTTTTTGTGGTTTGGTCTATTTCTTGGATACTCTAACTATAAGCAATAGGTCAACTATATTTGGTATATGTCATTGAAATGATTGTAATGTGTACATTTCTGTCTGGCAGGGTTCATTTTTTAACTTGACCTTATTTTCACAGTTCATTGGTCCATGTTAAGATGTTATAGTTTGATCTGTTTCTCAGGTACTATTAGCTATAGGACTACCATATTTGGTGTATATTTATGTTAGTTTTGGTGGAGATTCAGTAGTAAAACTTGTGTCTGATCCATTTGTCTTTTTGAACAACAAATTATGTTTAAACTTATTTTCAAACTCATCGGAGACATTCTTGATGTTAATTTTGACACATATTTCATTAAAATCCTATACAATATACGAAGTAGTGACAATTTACATGTTGATTTATGATATTTATATTTTCAAGGGGTGCAGCTCCCCCAAAAATAATTAACCCTGATTTTTTAATCTCCTCAGTACATGGACAAACTGAGGTTAATGTTGACTGTTTTTCTGGCAAATTTCCATAGTGCATCTACAACAAGGTTTGAGCTAATGATAAACATGATGAAGAAAAGGCATATTAGATTGAGGACAAAGTAAACACATGAGCAATATTTCTGATGGGTTTTGATCTGGTAGCCATAACTATTGGTTGAATATAGATATGAGAAGATGTGGTATGAGTGCCAATGAGAAAACTCTCCATCCAAGTCACAATTTGTAAAAGTAAACCATTATAGGTCAAAGTACGGCCTTCAACACGGAGCCTTAGCTCACACTCAACAGCAAGCTATAAAGGGCCCCAAAAATGACTAGTGTAAAACAATTCAAACAGGAAAACCAACGAACTTCTCTATATAAAAAAAAAAAAAAGAAACGAGAAACACTTATATATGTCTGCTTAAGAAAATGTTAAAATGCTTAAGAATATGTCTGCTTAAGAAAAACATTGGTACAAAACTCAGAGTCAACAACTTTACAGTTTTTAAGAAGCCTTCACTGAAATGCAATACTATATGAGAACAAGTACTTATGTTTTGGATTGTGTACTGGCCTCTGTATGTTTTGGATTGTGTACTGGCCTCTGTATGTTTTGGATTATGTACTGGCCTCTGTATGTTTTGGATTGTGTACTGGCCTCTGTATGTTTTGGATTGTGTACTGGCCTCTGTATGTTTTGGATTATGTACTGGCCTCTGTATGTTTTGGATTGTGTACTGGCCTCTGTATGTTTTGGATTGTGTACTGGCCTCTGTATGTTTTGGATTGTGTACTGGCCTCTGTATGTTTTGGATTGTGTACTGGCCTCTGTATGTTTTGGATTGTGTACTGGCCTCTGTATGTTTTGGATTGTGTACTGGCCTCTGTATGTTATGGATTGTGTACTGGCCTCTGTATGTTTTGGATTGTGTACTGGCCTCTGTATGTTATGGATTGTGTACTGGCCTCTGTATGTTTTGGATTGTGTACTGACCTTTGTATGTTTTGGATTGTGTACTGGCCTCTGTATGTTTTGGATTGTGTACTGACCTCTGTATGTTTTGGATTGTGTACTGGCCTCTGTATGTTTTGGATTGTGTACTGACCTCTGTATGTTTTGGATTGTGTACTGACCTCTGTATGTTTTGGATTGTGTACTGGCCTCTGTATGTTTTGAATTGTGTACTGACCTCTGTATGTTTTGGATTGTGTACTGACCTCTGTATGTTTTGGATTGTGTACTGGCCTCTGTATGTTTTGGATTGTGTATTGGCCTCTGTGTGTTTTGGATTGTGTACTGGCCTCTGTATGTTATTAACCGATTTGTTGTCATGAGGTTACGGTCTCATTGACATACACACCATATATCCTTTCATTCATTTAAATTCAAGATAGAACTATATTTGACAGATCTAATTTTATTTTCTAAAAGAAAAATTTCACACAGAAAACAAAACAAAAATCACAGATGATCACAAAAATAAATAACAAATAATAATAAATACAGTTTTGATGTTATATTCTCCCATTCTGTCTTGTACCTTGAAAATTCTGAGCAATCAAAGTTAGGTGTCTGATAATTAGGTCACAGTGACTTCAATGATCGAAAAACTTGTTAATTTTGCATTTCTAAACTATTTTCACAAATATTTTCCTTACACTTTACTGACTGCATTTACTTGTAAAATGACATAATATTATAAGGTCAGTTTTAACCATTAGTGAACCCTCCAATACTTTATTTTCCTCTCAAAAATGTTCTTCAGGAGGAACTATGCAATATAATAAATATTGGTAGGTAGTTCAACATTTTCCCAAGCAACCTTCAAGAATTAGTGACAACTAAATCAACTTGATATCAGGGTTCTTCCTGTTTCAACCATCCCCCTTATTTAATAAATTATGGAACAGCCCGGCATTAATTTTTTTCAAATATTTCTGATTTTTTATCTTTAATTCTCCTAATTTCCAAGATACAGACAGAATTCAGAAGCAGATTGCTTACATCACAGTCTTCTTAAAGCAATGACAATACTATGATGAGACATGTCAAATTCACAATGGTGGGATATTATAAAGTAAATACATCAAAAGCATTAGGAAGCTTTGATTAAGTAGAGAGCAAGTTATTACTCCAAAACATTTACATAACCATGAATATATCAACATATAACATATATAAATAGACTTTGATTCAGACATAACAACAGTAGAATTTTAAAAATTCTAAAAATAAAAAATGGACAGATAAGAAATATTTTAGTGAAAGATAACTTAGAAAATGTATTATGCAGGCATATCATAAACACTAATTCTTCCGGTCTATCAAGACTTAAAAATAAAACTACCTAAAAATTATCATAAGTATCAATTTATTGGCAATACACTATCATATATAAGTTTCAAAATTGATGGACAACGTTAAATAAGTTCCATGACTTTGATGGAAGTTTTTGATTTTTATAACTATATCCAGCAAAAAGCCTCAAAGAATCACATTTTTCTTGTTTTTTATCTGAACCATTCTACAATAAAAAATAATTATAAATATATGTTTTTTAAGATAATTTTTTAGTCTGATAATTTTATGGAATTCTACCTCTACGTTGATAGTTTAATAATTCATCCAACATTATTTCAGAGTTCAGAAAACTTTTTTAAGCTCTTGATTTAGCATTTCTAATTGATTCAACGTAAGGGCATTAACCAGTACATGATGATTAAGAAAAAGACATAGAGGGTTATCTCCCTGCTAGGACAAAACATAGAGTTGTCACCCTGCTAGAACAAAATGTAGAGTTATCATCACCCTGTTAGAACAAAATATAAGAGTTGTCATTCTGCTAGAACAAAACATAGAGTTATCATCACCCTGTTAGAACAAAACATAAGAGTTATTGCCCTGCTAGAACAAAACATAGAGTTATCTCCCTGCTAGAACAAAACATAGAGTTGTCACCCTGCTAGGACAAAACATAGAGTTGTCACCATGCTAGAACAAAACATAGAGTTGTCACCCTGCTAGAACAAAACGTAGAGTTATCATCACCCTGTTAGAACAAAACATAAGAGTTATTGCCCTGCTAGAACAAAACATAGAGTTATCTCCCTGCTAGAACAAAACATAGAGTTATCTCCCTGCATTACAATTAATTAAATAAACAGTTTGTTTAAGGCGTAAATGTAAAGTGAAGATTGCCCAGTAAAAACAATATTGCACATGTAAATAAACAACCTAAATAGCACAACTCAAAACCTTTATATTGCACATCATGTACATTGTGTATAATAAATAAATAAATTAATTAAATAAATAATCATTAAATAACAAACAGTGCATAAAACATGGTTTAATATATAGTAATATAGCAATCAAAATTTTATAAAATAACAAAATGTTCAAACATATAAAAGCAGCATTCAAGAACATTTGTTAAAAATAATAACTAGGACTAATTTTCATATTGTAAATACATGTGTATATAGCCATCTATTCTACCCTCCAGCTGTGGGAGGGAACCTCCCAAATGTTTAGTTCATAAATTTGAAAAAAAATCTTACCCATCAAAATATCTATTTCCAGATAAACAATTTTCTCCTTCTTTATTAATTCATTCAATAAGAGCTAACCAAAAGTAAGATGAGGATCAAATAAAGGAAGGATATAGATGCTTTGTCAAACTCCCTTCCAAAGGACATTTGAAAAGGTTTTAATGTTGACATAAAAATTTTGGAAAATCTAGAAAAAAATAAAAGTTGTACTTAAATTTATACAAAATTTGAATAAAAGGAGATATAGGTCAATTGAACAGCAACCTAACAACTAGATATATCTAGAGGTCAAGTTTAGACAATACGTTTTCTTCACTCTCTAATTTTGCTTTAATGCTCTCTTCATCTTAGTAACAAAAGGTTTATAGTTTTTAAACTAAAACTTGTATACAATGTTACATTGGTAAATGGAAAATTGAATAGAATTGAATGTCGTTTGTTTAACATCCAGTGTAGGGAATATCATTATCCCCCCTACCCCCTCCAAAATATAGTAAATCTAACAAAAAAATACAATAAAATCACAATAAAGCCACACACAAGGCTATTTATGCCACTAAAACAGTTTTAAATGCACCAATTAAATAATTAATAAGACTAGATTTGCAGTTGCTGTAAGCATTTAAAATGAACACCATGATGAAATAGATTAGACTTAGGTCATCGATCATAAAAGCCATAATCATGATTAATTCAGATCATCAATCATAAAAACCATAATCATGATTAAATAGACTACATAAATATCATCAATCATGATTAAATAGACTAGATTTCCATCATCAATCATAAAAACCATAATCATGATATAGATCATCAATCATGATTAAATAGACTAGTTGTAGGTCATCAATGATAAAAATAACAATCATGATTATTATGTAAATAAGTAGCATTTCCAGTTAACGTCAGGAAAAACATTGTTTTACATGACCTAAACTGATACTAGACGTAAAAGGAACAAAAAATCATAATGTATCCAGTCTTTAGTTAGTTATCCCCAAATACAGTTCCTCTGGCGTCAACTAGAATTGCTAATATATGACTTTAATATTTGTAGATGACAGTTCTATGGTTAATGTTTGACACATACAATTATAATTCTTTTGATAGGGTGAAGATGAACACATTAAATGAAATATTCGTCATTTACAAATTATGAGTGTGAGGTGAACAGGTCTTCAAATGGGGGTTTCCATAAATGGCTGAATAGAGGGGGGACTGGAAGGCTTTAAAATAAGTTTGACTGATGGGATTGTTTTTTTAAGAAAATAAGTTTAATCAAAATCTTTTGCACAACAAGATATCATGAAAAGTGCCTCCCGACCCCTGTAAAATACATTTCTGGAACAGCCTTATGGATATAGGATTGTCATCTTATTATTATTACAATCAGAGTTGTTTCCCTTTCTATTGATGAGCTTTTAAAAACAATACTTTCTGTGAAATTTAGATACCTCTTAATAACTATTTCCCATACTGCTGTTTCTACAGTACATTACTCTGACAGGTAAAATGTAACAATGAACTATAGCCACAGTATCGCCCCACAATTTTATTTCATGTTTGGTGTACCCTCTGTTTACAATTTCTTTTTCTCAAAGCTATTTCATATTTCTCCTGCACAATTGTTTCATGATTTGAGAAAATTATTGACAATTATTTTTTTTTTATACATGTTGCATTATTCAATAATTTAATTTTGGATGTAATGCGTCTTCTGATTGGCTGACGTTGTTTTGTTTATCAGCTCATAGACATAATTTTGTCATGTGACCGTGACGTCATCAACGTTTTTTCATGGTTTACTCAGGTTTAAAATGGAATTTAGAATTAAATTATAAGAAATGACTGTAATATTTTTTCTGTCTATTCGAAATAACATCAAAAATGTGGCGCACACTTTAAAATAACCCGCCATGCGAGTTATTCAGTGTGCACCACATTTTTGATGTTATTTCTTCATAGACAGAAAAAATATTACAGTCATTCCTTAATTGGCTTTGACCAGTTTAGGAACTTTCTTGTTACATTATTGATTGGCTTTGACCAGTTCAGGAACTTTCTTGTTACATTATTTATTGGCTTTGACCAGTTCAGGAACTTTCTTGTTACATGCTGATGATGCATGCCTTTCTCAAGCTGGGCTTTCGAAAAATGAGAAAACAAACTATCAGAATTTACTTAAGTATATATAATCATTGCCATCAGATGGAAAAAAATAGTCCTCAAGTCCTCATAAGACACGTCCTGAAGTCCTCATAAGAGATATTTTTTATTCTTAAATCTAGCAATAAAAATTTTAATTTACTGTAGCCTGCAACAACATAACAACAGTACCTATTAAACTAGCATATAAATACATACATACTATGTTTCATTAATGAAAACACATTTGTCTAAAATACAGTGTCACACGATCGTGTGGAGTCGAGGGTGTTAAATAACTCCCTGTACACTTTACACAGTTAATGCTAACATTCTCAATGCTCATCAAACTAAATTCTCAAATAAATTAATGTAAACAAAGATGATCATATAACCAATGAAAATTCTAACTGTAAAAATCACTGTGGAGTTTTTTAAATTCATCCTCGTCTGTTATTGGCCTAACATTTTCTTGTCTGATTAAACCTTCTTTCTTCCCATTTATACAATACAACCAATCAGAATCGAGCTGTGCTAAAACTTCAAAATGGTCGCCAGCTTGGTATGAAAAATCCCCTCCTGACTGTTCACTGTCTTTGGTTGATTGGACGTACCTAAAACCATAAAATAGATTTGTTACTGTTTATCAAGTTATGTTCATAAATTGGTTTTGTCATAGTTTGGGCATAAGATGGATCAGTTAAATCTTCACTGTGTTTGTTATTCACCTTCCATGGCCTTGTTCAATGCATTTAAATATACAGTGAAATCTTAACATCTTTAAATGTACAGTGAAATCTTAACATCTTTAAATGTACAGTGAAATCTTAACATCTTTAAATGTACAGTGAAATCTTAACATGAGTACATTTCGATGTTGCCGTAAAATGTCTATTGTGAAAATACAAAAAATTGACAAATGCAAAAAATTTCCATCTGCAATATTAGGTTCACTAAAAATCATTTCTTTACTCATTATACAGAGTTTTGACTACTTATATTTTGATTCTATCTCACCCTTAAAACTGTGGTTCAATCAGACAGGATTTTAAAGTGTCGGACCAAATGTCTGACAGGAATTAGCATGAAAATGTGAATATTATGTAGATTGTTATTCGTTCAGTTATTCGGAGAGGCTGTGTGACTGGATGTCTGACACAATCTACAAATGCTGATACACCTGACCAAATAAAATGAAGTATTTATAAACATTAAAGACAGAAGGTATAGTAAATACTAGACAGGTATCCAGTTTACATAGGATAATCATTGTATACTGTTTGCAGTTCAATTTTGACAGGTTACTAGTTTATGGAGGTTACACTTAGTCAGGTTTTACTGTATACTTCCAGGAGTGATCTAATGTAGTATATTATCTATGACCAGATTCATACATTCATAATATTAATTTTACCTGAAATTTGGTTTTCTAAAGCCTATATCAGCAGTTTTTAGATGATGTTCTGCATCAAGTTCTAAAATCGTTGCTACATTTGGATTTGGCGAGTTACAATTTATTTCATCACTGAGGTGTAATGTATTTTCCCTACTGTCTGAAGTTATGGCATCTTTATATGTTTCCTTAACAATATCATCTGTATTCCATTTCCCTTGAGGCACTTCCTGTTCAATATTTTCTATTTTTTCTTCATCCTTTTCAATACTTATTCTGTCAATTTTACTCTCAAATTTAGCCACCATTTGTGTCACTGATGGTGGTGCTTTTAGAGTTGGTCCTTCTTCCAATGATGCACTTAGGGTTATTCCCCCTTGCCATTTATTTTCTTTTACTTTTGGCACTTTATCACTTTTTTGCTCCACTGGTTTTGACTTTTCTTTCACTGATTTTTGACTAGCTGCTTTTCTGACTGGTACCTTGCTCTTCATAACAGATTTTTCCCTTACTGTTTTCCCAGAGCTTTCCTTTTGTTTTTCCTGACTATTGCTTGACATCTTTAAGCTGTTGTCAGAACTTTTCATACTGGACCCACTTAATTTTACTGTTGTTCTAGGTACCAGTTTTGATGGGACAGCTGCTGTTGCACCTTTTGACTGTGAGTTACTTCCCTTCCCTGTATATGCTGGTAACTTACTATGTGATGACTGACCTGGCGACTTTAATTCACTCTTGACTGGGACATTTTTTGTCGCTATTGAAAGTGGTTTAACCTGTTGACCTTGACCATAACCCCAACTCCATCTTGATTTTAATTTCTGCTCCTTTTTACTAGAATCTCTGGGCAAAAGTAATTTATCAAAGAGTCTAATTAACCCTGATTTTGTTTTCTCAAGATCAACATCTGTACCATCTGACTTTTCTTTCTTAACAGGAAGTGATTTTTTAGCAGTAGTACCATTTTCATTTTTCTTGGGCATTTCTGTATTGATTCCTAAGAGTTTTCCAGCAATTCCACTAATAGAACTCATCATTGTACTACTATCACTAGGTAAAGATTGAACAGAGTTATCTCCACTTAGTCTCCTTTCCTGAATTCCTGTCTGACTGATATCTACTGCTGCTGCTTCAACAGTAGATTCATTCTTTGGCAGTTCTAATTTAAGAGAAGTTCTGGGTGGTTTGGCTGGAGGAATGTCAGTCTGTAGATTATTTACTAATCCTGTAGCCAAGATAGGTCTTTCTACATCTGCATTACTTTTTACTGCTGTTTTTGTTGTTTCAATAACTTCTTTTCCTTCCTCCATACACTTTTTGTCTTCAGATTTTAAAGTACCAGATAATTTACCCAGGATTCCAGTTATACTTGATATCATTCCATTTCCCATCAAAACTGGTGGACTTGGGATTTCATCACTGGGACTTTTTGCTGCAGCACCATTTTTCAACCAATCCCAAGCTTTAGAAGCAGCTACTCCTATAATTGCCTTTTCTTTAGAGAAAGAGTCGTTCATGCAATGATCCATAGGTGAGTTATCTTTCTTGGGACTTAAATCTTTTCCAACAGAGGTAGTTTCTGATCCCTGCAAACTGATACGAGATGTGATGAATTCAATGCTAAGTTGAAATGGTAATACTGCTAGTGGTTGTAGTGATATCAGTACCTCACTGTACTTCCTTTCATAGAGAGTTCCACTAAGGGACATAACTGAATCCTGATTGTAATACTTTTCCACAATGGAACTGTTGTGTCTTAAATATCCCATCCAGTAATCCACTAATCTCAAACTGAAAAATATGATGTAATTGTTACATTATATAAATCAAAGGTTTATACTTCGAGAAAAGCATGCCAAGTTTCTTGTTCTAAACCTGAAAATGGGTATGGTAGGTCAGTTGGATTATATTTTTCGTTAATTAACAACAACAACAACAATTCTTTATTTTGAGAAGGTTACACAGTTAACTATATAACTAATCTTCCCTGAGGCCCTCATCATAGAAAAAGCAGAAACAAAAAAGCAAACATATACGTGGCATACATAAGTATAAAGTTAAATATAATGATAATGTTCAGTACAACTGCATAAAATGTTATGAAAAAATAAACATGATGAAATAATTAATATTCAATATTTTTTCAACAGGTTGATTTCAATAAATGATCTGTTATTTTGTATTTGAAAGAATTAACATTTGTAACATTTCGTAAAGATATTGGCAAATTGTTCCACAAGAATGGTCCAAAATTCAGTTTTTATATAAGTGCAGTACTGTATAGTGACTTGGTACAGGCATTTCCTTATGTAGAAAATGGTTGAAACATTGCATATATTCTTTGGAAAGCATTACAAATTAAATTTTCTAATGTTCGCTAAAAACTTACTTTAGAAGACCAAATATAAATGCATCAAACTTGTTGCTATGGGATACGAGACCTGTGTGACCTTTAAGCTGCTGGACAAGGTCATGAATAGCTCTGGTGTATGGACCTGAAAGAAATGAATAACATTCACATCAAAAACAAAACCCTTGCATTAATCACAAACTGGGTTAGTTATATCGGCATCAAGTTATAGAAGTGTGATCCTTTTATTTCATGGGAAAACACTTTCTCTAATTTTTGTGCTATTTTCACACTTCTTGATCGGTGTGAGAAAAATATTTCGCCTCACTAGTGAAATATCTGTTCTCGGCAAATGATTGGTTGAAATTTAATTATGACGTCAAAATTTCTTGGTTTCTTCTAAATTTCCTATTGTGACGTCATGAAAAAAGGCGACCATGTCTGATGATGTCACATATAAAGAACACATCTTTCTGAAAATCTTTGAAAAGGAAGGACAAAAAATCATTAGAGAAACAGATTCCACAACTATAACTCGTGTATTAAGATTTTTCTTCACTCTCAACAGTTAAATTTTGATTATTTACAAAGCTCGGCAAGCCTCATGCTTTAAATATTTAAATTTAACTGTCTCTAGTGGAGAGATATCGTTACACACTTGTTGCAGTGGTGGAATCTATATTTCTCATGTCATATATGAAGATTGAAATTTCTTTGACTTTTCTAAAACTTATGAATAAAAGAAGAGAAAATATAAGGCCTCTTCCCTTTTCTAGACGAACATCATTGACACTAGAAATCTTACAACATAAAACATGCAAACCTAGATTCTCTAAGGAGCCTAGCCTGGCATCAATCCATGAAATAACTGACTTTTTTTTAACCAGTATTGAGGTAAGTCACATAACTGGATATAACTTTGAAACCAACAGGAAATAAACACAGAAATCTGCATTCATTAATGAATCCACAGTAATTATTTTATTTTCTTTTATGTGTATGTTTGAGTACAGTGTAGGGATGTCAATATTTTAATGTTTGCTAAAATAATCTTTGGATATTCCAACAAATTTAACTATATATTAATATTAAAAAAACCTAGTATTTTGATAGAACAGACTATAACTGCAGTTACTAGTATTTTGATAGAACAGACTATAACTGCAGTTACTAGTATTTTAATAGAACAGACTATAACTGCAGTTACTAGTATTTTGATAGAACAGACTATAACTGCAGTTACTAGTATTTTGATAGAACAGACTATAACTGCAGTTACTAGTATTTTAATAGAACAGACTATAACTGCAGTTACTAGTATTTTGATAGAACAGACTATAACTGCAGTTACTACCAGTATAAACCTGTGTTGGTAATTTTCCACCAGGATTTTCCTATTTTTTTTTCCTACCCAAGTCAATCAGAAATACCGTATCAGTCAATGATTTCATAGGTTATATTACATTGTTAATACATTTATATTCATTGACAGATGTAGACATTGAAACTTGTTTTGCATTTAAATATCTAATATTTGAGAAAATGTCCTTGAATTTAAATAAATTGCACTTTTAGTTAATTAGCTTTTTATATAATTTTATTTCAACTACCAGTTTAATGTCGTAATAATTGAGAAAATGTCTTTGGATCTAATATAGTTAATTTGCTGTTTATATAATTGTTATTTCAACTGCGCATTTTAGTGTCACAATTTTAAGAAAATGTCCTGGGATTTTGTAGTTAATTTGTTTTTTATAAAGCTAATATTTCGGCTGTCTAGAAAATGTCCTGGGATTTTGTAGTTAATTTGTTTTCTATATATCTAATATTTTGGCTGCCTGTCAATCAGATTTTATCAGTGATTCAAAATGTATAGGAAAACATCTAATTATTTCAAGGTTAGTAAATGTGGATAGTGTCCACATGTGGACACAGATGATGCCCCCACTTGCATATCATATAGTTATAAAGGGACATAACTGAAGAATGGTAAAATTGACACTACCCAAATTTGAACTTGATCTGAGTTTTGGGGTAATAAGCAATTGTGTGTAAGGCTCATAACATTTGGTTGAGTCTAACTAAGTAGAGAACAGAAACTAAAAATTCAGCAATTTTTCTATTTGCAAACACGCATAACTCTAGAATGGTTGTGTATAAGTTTTATAACATTTGGTTAAAAAGTCTGTGTTAAATGATACTTGCACTGAGACATAAATAAATTCATAACTGAACAACAATATTTATACAATATATCAATAGTAACTTTATCAGCAGAATTTTAATGTTTGTATTATTATTTTTTATTCAAAACTAGAGGCTCTACAGAGCCTGTGTCGCTCACCTTGGTCTATGTGCATATTAAACAAAGGACACGGATGGATTCATGACAAAATTGTGTTTTGGTGATGGTGATGTGTTTGTAGATCTTACTTTACTGAACATTTTTGCTCCTTACTATTATCTCTATCTATAATGAACTTGGCCCGGTAGTTACAGTGGAAAATACTTTGTAAAAATTTACAAAAATTTACAAAATTTATGAAAATTGTAAAAAATTGACTATAAAGGGCAATAACTCCTTAAGGGGTCAATTGAAAATTTTGGTCATGTTGCCTTATTTGTAGATCTAACTTTGCTGTACATTATTGCTGTTTACAGTTTATCTCTATCTATAATAATATTCAAGATAATAACCAAAAGCTGCAAAATTTTCTTAAAATTACCAATTCAGGGGCAGCAACCCAACAACGTGTTGCCTGATTGGTCTGAAAATTTCAGGGCAGATAGATCTTGACCTAATGAACAATTTTATCCCATCAGATTTGCTCTAAATGCTATAGTTTCAGAGATATGAGCCAAAAACTGCATTTTACCCTATGTACTATTTTTTAGCCATGTCGGCCATCTTGGTTCGCGGGCGGGGTCATCGGACACATTTTTTAAACTAAATACCCTAATGATGATTGTGGACAAGTTTGGTTAAATTTGTCTTAGTAGTTTCAGAGGAGAAAATTTTTGTAAAAAATTACAAAAATTTACGAAAAATGCTTAAAAATTGATTATAAAGGGCAATAACTCCTTAAGGGGTCAACTGACCATTTTGGTCAAGTTGACTTATTTGTAGATCTTACTTTGCTGAACATTATTGCTGTTTACAGTTTATCTCTATCTATAATAATATTCAAGATAATAACCAAAAACGGCAAAATTTCCTTAAAATTACCAATTCAGGGGCAGCAACCCAACAACGGGTTGTCCGATTCATCTGAAAATTTCAGAGCAGATAGATCTTGACCTGATAAACAATTTTGTCCATGTCAGATTTGCTCTAAATGCTTTGGTTTCAGAGATATAAGCCAAAAACTGCATTTTACCCCTATGTTCTATTTTTAGCCATGGCGGCCATCTTGGTTGGCAGGCGGGGTCATCGGACACATTTTTGAAACTAGATACCCTAATGATGATTGTGGCTAAGTTTGGCCTAGTAGTTTCAGAGGAGAAGATTTTTGTAAAAGTTAACGGACAACGACGATGGACGACAGACGACAGACGCCAAGTGATGAGAAAAGCTCACTTGGCCCTTTGGGCCAGGTGAGCTAAAAAAGCAGAGGTGTATCTAATACAAACTCTATGGAAAAATAATATGAAAGCCAACACTCTTAAAGGACAATGTAAATCATTTTAATATTGACCTTGTCCTTTGAGGGTACTTTATAAAGAATCTTAATGTCAACCAAATCTATCTTCCATTTTTTTTAACTTGAATTTTAACTATGAAATAATTAATCATGTCCTGACAATATGAATGCTTCCATCTGATTGTTGACCGAAGAACTATGCTTCCACCTGATCGTTGACCGAAGAACTATGCTTCCACCTGATCGTTGACCGAAGAACTATGCTTCCACCTGATCGTTGACCAAAGAACTCTGTTATTCTGAGATAAAAAGTGAAACACCTCAACATGTTTGTAACCCTCCATTATACACTAACAAACTAGAAATCTTGTCAATATCCACACCCATAACCAAATAAAAGTAGAATGTGTCTGAGGACATGAATGCCCCTGCTTTAATCAAATGAAAATGGAACGGACGGACAGAAAGACGGTAAGACGGATGGTCAAGGGTAACTCTTAATGCCCCTGTCGCCTATGGCAGGGGCATTAAAATTCTAGATCAGTACATTGCTTGTATTTCTATGAAAAGAAGGCAATTGGCAATTGGAAGTCTCAAGATCAACAGGCATTATAATAAAGTCTGGAGAACTGTTGGATTTTGGAAAGACAGAATTACAGAATGATGGAAGAATGAACAGAAAATTCGTAAGGGTTCCACGGAACCCAGTGTCTCGCCTACTTTGCTGTTAATCGCAGGCTCAACAAAAATGAGGAAAAAAATCAATAAAAATATTCCTTTAGATACTATCTTTTGATTGTAAGAAGCTTCTGTCAAAGTTTGGTACACATCCAGGATAGTTTATGAATCTAATAAATGTTTTAAAAACTTTAACTGCAGACTGTATGTAATGTTAACTGGAAGAAAAACTAAGTCCATTTATAAGTAAAATACAGATAAACAGGTACAAAATTTAACAAAATTTCCTTCTAGATACTAGCTTTTGATCATAAACAAGCTTCTGTCCAAGTTTGGTACAAATCTAGGATAGTTTAAGAAAGTTATTAAAATTTTAAAAACTTTAACCACAGAGTGAATGTATTGTTTCCTGGCAGAAAAACTAAATCCATTTATAAGTAAAATACGGAAAAACAGGGAATTTTATTTTTACAAAATTTACTTCTGGATACTATCTTATGATCATAAACAAGCTTCTGTCCAATTTTGGTACAAATCCAGGATAGTTATAAAAGTTATTAAAATTTTAAAAACTTTAACCACAGAGTGAAAGTAATGTTTCCCGGCAGAAAAACTAGGTCCATTTACAAGTAAAATCAGAAAAACAGGAATTTTATTTTTACAAAATTTACTTCTGGATACTATCTTATGATCATAAACAAGCTTCTGTCCAAGTTTGGTAGAAATCCAGGATAGTTTAAGAAAGTTATTAAATTTTGAAAAACTTTAACCACAGAGTGAATATTTGTGGACGCCGCTGCTGACGGAATGCAGGATCGCTATGTCTCGCTTTTTCGACAAAAGTCGAAGGCTCGACAATAAACTATATGCCCAGGCCATCGAGTAGTGGGGGTGTAAAAAGATGGATAAAGACAGATGACACATTCAATTTGATATGGTCACATGAACAAAACAAACTAACATACATGCTTTTTACAGTTTGTTCTTATGTTGCAGTGTGTTTTACTGTTACACTACTGTCCCATGGTAGGTGGAGGGTTTGGCACCCACAAACATGTTTTACCCTGCCAGATTCTGTATGTGCCTGTCCTAAGTCAGGAGCCTGTAATTCAGTGGTTGTCTTTTGTTGCTGTATATCATATTTTTTTTTTTTTTTTTTTGTGCATAAATCAGGCCGTTAGTTTTCTAGTTTGAATTGTTTTAAATTTGTTATTTCCTGGCCTTTTCTAACTTACTATGTAGTTTGGGTTTTACTCATTGTTGAAGGTCAAATGGTCCTATAGTTGCTAACCTTCTACATCATTTGGTCTCTGATGGACAATTATCTCATTGGCAATCATACCACATTTTCTTATTTTTATATGTACCTTGTTCAACAGAGGCCTCTGCTAGTTTCCAGGCAGTAACTTGCACTCGTCCAAAAACCTGAACTCCTGTTAGGTGTGGTTTCAGGCCGTCGTTTATCACCCTATATATAGCTGGACATAACCTTGACAGCGCAAGGTCACCAATATCTGGAGTGTCAGCAGAACTCCCCAGTCGAAGCTGGAAAACAATTATATATATTACAGTTAAATATAAAAAGATGTTACTATCTAATCTGTTTGCAGTATTCCAATAACAAAGCTAAAATAATACTGTATTATTGATGAAAAAGTTTTAAATATTTGGAGGGCAGGGGGTTATACCTGTGATAAAACAACTGGACCCTGGGTTTTAATCATTATACTAGCTACCAATACTGCATCCTATAATCATACATGCTATCACAACTGGAAACTGGCCTGCAATCATTATAGGCTAAGTATGGCTGACCCAACTAGACCCTAACCATGAATCATTATAGGCTAAGTATGGCTGACCCAACTAGACCCTAACCATGAATCATTATAGGCTAAGTAAGGCTGACCCAACTAGACCCTAACTATGAATCATTATAGGCTAAGTAAGGCTGACCCAACTAGACCCTAACCATGAATCATTATAGGCTAAGTAAGGCTGACCCAACTAGACCCTAACCATGAATCATTATAGTCTAAGTAAGGCTGACCCAACTAGACCCTAACCATGAATCATTATAGGCTTAGTATGGCTGACCCAACTAGACCCTAACCATGAATCATTATAGGCTAAGTATGGGTGACCCAACTAGACCCTAACCAAGAATCATTATAGGCTAAGTATTGCACAATACTGAGATCAGTCCATGTAAATCAACAAGACACAATACTAAGATCAGTCCATGTAAATCAACAAGACACAATACTAAGATCAGTCCATATAAATCAACAAGACACAATACTAAGATCAGTCCATGTAAAACAACAAGACACAATACTGAGATCAATCCATGTAAATCAACAAGACACAATACTAAGATCAGTCCATGTAAATCAACAAGACACAATACTAAGATCAGTCCATGTAAATCAACAAGACACAATACTAAGATCAGTCCATATAAATCAACAAAACAAAATACTAAGATCAACAAGGCACAATACTAAGATCAGTACATATAAATCAACAAGACACAATACTAAGATCAGTCCATGTAAAACAACAAGACACAATACTAAGATCAGTCCATGTAAATTAACAAGACACAATACTAAGATCAGTACATGTAAATCAACAAGACACAATACTAAGAACAGTCCATGTAAATCAACAAGACACAATACTAAGAACAGTACATGTAAATCAACAAGACACAATACTAAGAACAGTCCATGTAAATCAACAAGACACAATACTAAGAACAGTCCATGTAAATCAACAAGACACAATACTAAGAACAGTACATGTAAATCAACAAGACACAATACTAAGAACAGTACATGTAAATCAACAAGACACAATACTAAGAACAGTACATTAAAAGTTCACGTAAATCAAAGTTCTATATCAAAACATTAAATATATTGAAATAAATTTCTTCAGAAAACAAAATTCCAGCCTATGTAAAATACCTGTATTAAAAAAAATCTTGGAAGAAATAGGAATTCTTATGTCATATTAATTTTCTTTGAAACATAAACACATGTCATGTAAGTAAACAGGTGCCTGACTTGGAACTGATTAATTAACATATTTAACATTTTTCAGTTATTTTTGTAAAATAATTCAATAATAACAGAGAACTTTATTTTTGTGAAATAAAAACAACCCCAAAAATAATTTCTTTAATAAACATATTATGTAATAACTCTGTCCTTACTGGCAGAGAAATTCAATAATCAGTTATTTATAGAACATAAACTAGAGACAACGGATCAATAAAGCTGTAGATGTTTGAGTGGTATGCCAACACATCTTGAAGGTATTATATCTACTGTCTGTAGGAGTGTTTTATATCTCTTCAAGCTTCAGAAAACACATCTGTAGAAACTTATGTTATACATTGTATAATGGTTTAAAATTGAAATGAAATGAAATAATAGGCAGAAATTTAATGCATTTTTTTCTAATTTTAGATATTTTCAAGGTTCTTTAATTTTTACCTTGAAAACAAAACCTTCAAATTGAATGTGAATGATACATGTACAATAAATTTTTCACTGGCTCTACCATGATTTATAACCAAATTTTAAATTATGGGATATGAGTAGCAAGAACTAGATAGTTACTGTACTCAGATGTTGGCATTTAGTTTTCTGTGTATAAGTATTTTGTTGTCTGTTTTATTTTCTTTGATAAGTATTAAGTAATATGATAAGGTGTTGAATGGTTATCTCTGATGATAGAGTATTTATCTTTCAAAGCTAGATTATAACAAATACTCTTAATGGATAATATCTTTTCTGTAATTCTTAGCCCTATTTATCCTTTTCCAGACCTGTTATTTTTCATTTAATCCACATGTGGTTCGTCTGATCTCAGTTGTTCATTGGTCAAAATTCAATTATGACGTAAAATTTTCTTGCTTTCCTCTGAATTTCCTATTGTGACGTCAGGATTAAAGGCGAAAAAGAAGACATCATTTTGCAGATCATTGGGAAAGGAGGATTAAGTTTCTCTGCATTTTGTCTAAAATCAATAGAGAAACAGATTTGACCACAAAATCTCGTGCAATAAGATATTTCTCCACTCTCGACAGTTAAATTTTAAATATTTAACTGTCTCGAATGGAGAAATATTGTATCACACTCCATGTTGTGGTAGAATCTATACTTCAATAATCACGAAAATCAAAAGTTAATGTATTGAGTCATAATATTGTAATATGATATTGTTTATGTAATAATTTCTGTTTCATATATTTTTACTATACACTAGTTCTGAAATATGCTTTATTAATTATAATTATTTGATAATATTTGACATTACCTTCTGATTATGCCATTTTTATTAAGTATATTAATTCACCTCAAAACCTGTGCTAGGGGCCATCTTAAACTTGCAGTGAGTGAAGTGAGAGTTTTTTTTGCTCCATGTTGAAGGCCTCACTATGACTTTGAGATGAAGAATAGCAATAAAAGCGCTGTTCCTTTTCTTTTTGTGTTTTTTGCAGTGTGTATATTGATTTTGGCCATATATGGTTACCCCATATCCTTTCTTTTCTATTAACTTAATTAAGTACAGAATATTTTGATATAAGCTACTCAGTGTAATGTAGTGTATTATATAACATTTGTACTTATCTATGTTTTTTTTATGTATATTAAACTTATGTCTATTTATGTACTTGCAGGGTTATTGTTTACAATGTCAAAATAAATATAGAACGTACTGACATATAATCTTGTCTGCTCTTCCACCCATAGACCCAAATACATGTATATTTCTATTAGTTTCTCATCTTTAAGTGACAATCTCATAATACAATTAAAAATTACAACATAAACATCAACTGTTAATTTCCATTTTTTATTTTTCAGATGACAAATAAACTAAAATGATACATAATTTGATAATGACACCTCTAATTTTTTCTGGTATGATTATGATATTCTGATTGCCAAACAGTAAAATATGATTCAAATATGCAGCTATCATGTAGCGCTTGGAAAAGAGGCTTTTTACTAAATCTAACAAATAAATTTAGCTTTTATATTTTTATTCTCTTCATCGTGTCATATTTTTACCTTTATTATTGTAACTTTATTATTCTTTCGTTAATTAAATTTTTTAAGCAAAATATATTTTCTGTATTTTTAATTCTGTTCAGGACATAAGCAGTGGATCAGATTTACTCTCTCTTGTATAAAGCATTTCAACACAACTGAGACCCTAATTTACCCCCCAATAAACTCCCATTGATTTTTTTCTCATTACACATTTCCCCACTGATTATATAACAAACACTTTTATTTTATCTGAAATGTCAGTTATAATTGGAATGAATAGGAAAATATATTCATGTCCTACAAAAAGCAATAAATTCTACATCAATCTTTATCTCAATTGTCGACAAAATATATCTCTGTACATAAAACAACCCTTACAGGAAGATGTTGAGGGGTATATATGATTGATTGGTTGTTGGACACCATTTTCAGCACTCTCAATTATATCATGGCTGCTGGTTTTAATGGGTGCAGGAAGCCAGTGAACCCAGAGAGAACTATTGACTTATATCAGGAAACTTATTTTCAGCAACCAACCAAGATCAGAGTCAATGTATTTTCTGCAAGAGGGGTTAAAACTCAAAACCCCAGTGTTGACAGGCTAGTGAACTACTTACAACTATTGGCCATGAAGGTCTCAAGGGTTTTATATATATATGTATGTGATCTTTGTTAGGAAGATAAAAGCCGTTATATTTTAGTTGTAATCCTCAATTCAATATCTTTCATTCTTGTTCAACAAACATGACAAACTATACAGAACCTACACAATTGATTTCTTTAACTTATTCTCATCCCAAATATGAATGAAATATTTGCCACTGAAATTTAAGCAAACTAGATATCATTGAGATGGGAGCCATCTCTGTGGGCCCGCTGTGAATAATGTGTGGTAAACAATTTGTATCTTTATCATTGGACATGGGGTTGTCAACTGAAACCAAAGTTTTTTACCTTGACCTTTGACTTAGGAAGTTGTACATAAATTATGACACACCCTCTGGTGTTGGTTTATATACATGTCAAGTATAAACTTTGAAATCATAACGGTTCTCAAGATATAGAGTGGACACAATCTTTATCATAGACATGGGGTTGTCAACTAAAATCAAAGTTTTTGACCTTGACCTTTGACCTAGGAAGTTGTACATCAATTATGACTCACCCTCTGGTGTTGGTTTATATACATGTCAAGTATAAACTTTGAAATCATAGCAGTTCTCAAGATATGGAGCGGACACAATCTTTACCATAGGACATGGGGTTGTCAACTAAAACCAAAGTTTTTGACCTTTACCTTTGACCTAGGAAGTTGTACATACATTATGACACACCCTCTGGTGTTGGTTAATATATATGTCAATTATAAACTTTGAAATCATAACGATTCTCTAGATATAGAGCGGACACAATTTGTTACGGACTGACGGAAGGAGGGACAGACTGATCACTATAGGGCGTCCGCCATTCGGCGGGGTCCTAATAACTATCAATTAATTATAAATATCATATTCAGTATTGCTATAACCTTGTACTTCTGACAGAACTGATCAATATGTACAAAATGTAAGGCTACAAATCTTTACATTGACAATCTCTCTCCAGTTAAAAGGCAATAAAATCTATTGATTAACTATAAACATAGTCTGTTATGGAGGCACATTCTTAGATGTTACAAATTTCTGATTTTGCAGTATGTTCAATATTTCAAATTAAGATTAAATCATAGAATACATTCAATAACATTTCTATTATACACAATGTGCAGGAACACGTCTTATCATCAACACCATAACCAAAATGGTCAATAACTTCAAAGACAGCTATGATTTAAGCAGTGTTCTCCCCCAGGGCCTTTTAACATTATCATCCAAGCATACCACAGGTATCAGAGAGCTAGACCTCATCCCTCAGAACATCTTCATCTAACACTGCTCATAATTTGCCATGACTAATCTGTCCTATAATGAGTCATGATTCTCATCTAACAAGTCCATTCATACACAAGTAAATTTTACCTTTATTTTTAACATCTGAAGGAAAATCTTCTATTCTGTGCATGACTATTGTATGATTAAATGGACATGTGTAGTAAACACAATTAAGATAGCCATTTTACATCAAAAGTCCGTACTGTATGACAAACCAAAAATGATCCTTAATCTTGAGGGTGTTCCACTAACCCCAGAAAGTGACTTTTGATTAAATAAATGGGGAATGTGTCCATGGGACACAGATGATGCCCCAGCTTGTATATAATGTTATAAAGGGACATAACTAAGAACTGTAAAATTGACACTACCCAAATTTGTACTTGATCTGAGTTTTGTGGTAATAAGCATTGTTTATAGGTTTCATAACATTTAGTTGAGGCAAACTTAAGTTAGAGAATGGAAACGAAAATTTCAGCAATTTTTCCATTTGTAAAGGGGCATAACTCTAGAACTGTAAAAGTGACGCCACCAAAAAGCGAACATTATCTGTGTTTTGTGGTATTTGGCATTGTGCATAAGTTTCATAACATTGGGTTGAGGCAAACTAAAGTTAGAGAACAGAAACGAATATTTCAGCAATTTTTCCATTTGTAAAGGGGCATAACTTTAAAACGGTAAAGGTAACCCACCAAAATTCCTCCGCTACAGCGGGGGCATAAAAATATTTATTATGGCACTACAATTGTGGCAACCCGAAATTAATGATGAATAGAACAGTTACGAAATTCCCATTAAATCTTTTTATGCCTAAATTAAACATGCAGTAATTCTAAATTCAATATCAAATGTCAGAATTCATTAACCACAATATTATTTTGTTTTTCATCAAATCAACATTGATTTTCTCCACTAAACTAAGCAGTAATTTAGTAAAGGAATCATTGATATTATATAACATGTCTATTCACATCAGGCCACCAAGGAATAGGCACATCTGTAACAAGTATGGATTAATTTGTGTAGACATTTCCGTATTTTCTGACGGTTACAATTGCTGCTGCGTTTTGGAGATTGTCAAAAGGAATTTATTACAGGTGATTAAACATCCGTCTAACCTAGTTTATTATTGTTTTTGTAGCCCCTGTGATTAAACTGAAAAAATCTCTTAATCATGGAATCTGTATATTGAACTATGAACCTTTAAAACAAGGTTAAAGTCGAGTGAAAAGGGTTTTTGGTAAGGGGAAGTATTTGACTAATAATGCTTAGTTATAACCATACAGCTTACCTTGTCAAAAGGATTTTTGGCCGAAGCGAAATGTTCGACTAGGGATTCAGCAGCACTGCTTATATCTGACAATAAAACTGAAATAAGAATAACATAACTCATAAAAATAATATGTACTTAATAAATATTACAAACATGGTTGTTTACCAAAACAACTCGCATGAGATTGATTGATTGATTGGTGATTGCTTTACCCCGCATCAGCACAAAAAGGCTATATCGCGGCGAAACTCACATGAGAAAAGCACAATGAAATAATCTAATGGTCCTGGTAGCTCTAAAATTACAGAGAAGAGATAATGTTTGTGTTTTATAATCAAAAGCCATATAAGGGGTGATGATAAACTCATTTGACTCCTGAAGGATGATCAAATTGAAGCTAGTAGACATTTGTATGACAAATAACAGTCTGAGATCTTTTTAATGTACTGGTATTGCCAATATTTTATAATGTTCATCAGTGGCAATCATCTTAGATTTCAGCTGTACTACTGAATGTTATTTCAAAGACAACCATATATTTTGACTGAAATGTACTTATATCGAGTGAGCTTCTACTTATGAAAACCAACCTTTTCTTAGGTCTTTATCTGTACTCTCCACATGATCATTGGTAGGAGTAACCTCCCCTGTTGGAGAAACCTGAAAGTCTACAGGAGGAGCCTCATCTGAGTCTGAGCTGGATTTTTCTGTAAATGAATTGAATCATATGAAGCTCACTGTGTTCATTACAAAAAACTGTGTATGAAATTTGAACATGTTAATGTGTCAATTAATCATGTTAATGTGTCAACTAATCATGTTAATGTGTCAACTAATCATGTTAATGTGTCAACTAATCATGTTAATGTGTCAATTAATCATGTTAATGTGTCAACTAATCATGTTAATGTGTCAATTAATCATGTTAATGTGTCAATTAATCATGTTAATGTGTCAATTAATGTGAAATAAACAATTTGTTCAGGTGGTTAGTATATTTTGAATTCTACATATTGTATGTGTACATTTATCAGTATATCAATATGCAATCTAATTAAAACAAGCATTCTGAGAGTATTGAATGGCAATACATAGTCCCCTACCCGTTAAAAATTCATTGTACTGGAACAGTATGCTAACTTGATCTATAACTTGTCATGGTGTAAACTATATAACAAATATCAAGTCAATTTCTTCAAGCATGACGAAAAAAAGAGTGGAAAACTGATTATTTAAGTGAATTTTCTAAGTCCAAGGACCATACCTCTGCACAAAATCATCAGAACAGAAATTCAAACTTGATCTGTAACTTGTCATGATAAAACTATATATACCAATTATCATGATTATCAAATCCATATCTTCAAGTGACGAAAAAAAAGTGAGGAAAACTGATTATTTCAGTGAATTTTCTAAGTCCAAACACCATAACTCTGCACAAAATCATAAGACGGGAACAAAATTCGAACTTGATCTGTAACTTGTCATGATAAAACTATATAAAAATTATCAAATCAATATCTTCAAGCATGACGGGGAAAAAAGAGGAAAACTGATTATTTGAGTGAATTTTCTAAGTCCAAGGACCATAACTCTGCACAATATCATCAGACCAGAACAAAATTTGATCTTGGTCTGTAACTTGTCATGATAAAACTATATACCAATTATCAAATCAATATCTTCAAGCATGACGAAAAAAAGTGCGGAAAACTTATTTGCCGGACTGATGGATGGACAGACAGACAGACGGACGGAGTGCAAACCTAAAGTCCCCTTCGACTTCGTCGGTAGGGGACTAATAACATCTTCCAACTTTTTCCTAAATACTTCAGTTGTTTATATGTTGCGTGCATTTGATCAATATGGTTTCAGCAAGGATGTTTCACATTTTAAACATGAATATAAAGCATACATGTACATTGAAAATTTAATTTTAGTGTTAATTGTTCATGTTGTTGTGACATTCAGACTTGTAATATTTTCACATTAATCTCTCAATAAGTTGTATTTTAACATAAAGTACATCAGTGATATAACTGATAAAAAAACTATCGAAATATATTTCAAATTTATGTAACAAGATTGATTGATTGTTGGTTGATTAATGTCCAGTGTAATAAGAAGTTGTACATGTCATGTGCATGTCATAGAGATAAGCATACCCTCACTTGTAATTCAAAACTTTGGAAAACAGAAAGTCTGAAGAAGGATCCGATCTGAAACACCCTTTCACTTTATAATTCCTCAGATAAATACAAAACAATCCTTTGGAATTTCTTAGTTTTTAGATCTTGATGTCCAAATTAATGATTCCCAACATTGCCCAACATGCCCAATGGAAAACTGAACCTGGATCAGGGTTAATTGAGTAAATGTAAAATTTGATTCAACACCTTACCATTTTCAATTTCTTGTTGATTCTTTATTGAGTTAACTTCCTCATCAGAAGACTTCACTTCCTGTTGCTCTGATGATATGACTTGCTCTTGTTCTGATGACATCACTTCCTGTTCACTGCCACCACTATTTTGTTGCCGTTTTGGTGACATGTGTGGACTTATTGCATGGAATGACACTTCTGATGCAAAACTGACACTCTTTCTCTTACCATTTAATTCCTTCTCACAAGAATCAGTATCTGCATCTTTTAGTTTTTCTTCAATCTTTTTTGGACGCAATTTTACAACAGTTTTCTCTTTGTCCTCTGCTGGTTTGTCTTCAAGATAGAAAACAACAGGTTCAGCCTCATCTTCATTGTTCTTACAGACAAAATATTCACCTGTTTCGTCCTGAAGAAGTATTATTTCCTCACATGCATACGAGTGTCTATTCTTTTTACGATCCTCCTTCGTTTGTTCATCTTGTTGGCCAAGGTCAAAATGATCTGATAACGACCTTGTACGTAAAAACTGTCTTTTACGAAGACAAGATTTCAATGGTTTTTTGTCAAAATTAGGGAAGAAACTACCACTACCGGATGAGCCTGATTCACTCGATAACTGAATGTGATAATCAAATTTACGTCTGCGAACAACAACTTCCTCATTCTCCCAATGTTCTATATGACCTTGTTCTCGACCTTTACAACAGTTCACACAATATGCATTTCCATAAAGATAGTCATTTTCATGGTGACATAAGTCTCTTTCTGGAGATGAAACCGGTGTTTGTTCTTCTTGTAAAGAATAGAGATGTTCCAAATGTAATGAACTATTAGATGAAGAATGACTTGTATTGCTATTTGTTCCAGGACTTTTGACGGTTTTTGTTTTAATCTTTGAATCAATGTTTCCAGGGTGTATTTCATTAGCATAACGATTGACCTTTTTATCAGTAGGTTTTGAGGATTTCCAGTGCTGCCGTTGTCGTTCTGGATTTTGATGTAAACTAGTATTACCACTATCACTTAAATTCTCACTCAGGTTGTCTCCCTTACATGTATTCTCTACATGAGGAGGGTAGAAAATGAGTCTTTCAATGTCAGTTGTTGGACTACTGTTGTGCATACATCTATCACTGTATCCAGGGTCAATCCCTGATGATGTTGAACTTGTGAACCCACTACTACTTGACCCAGATTCATGACAATTGCGAATCAAATGAGAATTGTGTGATCTAGCTGGTGCAGAATGTGACCTGTGACCTTTGCCTCTAGTTTTTGAACTACTTCGGCAAGAATGAGATAAGTTATCAAAAGAGTTCTTAGTGCTGAGACTTTTTGTCACCTTGTTGCTATTGACCACAGCTGGAATAAAAACAGGAACTGGCATTGCTATTGGTAACGGGTCAAATAAAGACATTAATGAACCATCATCCTGTTTTTCTTCAAGGTGTTTTAAGTTTATAAAACTCAAATCTGGTAGAGATTTGTGTGAATAAAACAAGGATTTAGAATCAAATCCTGGGACAGGGATTTGTTTTCTATTTGTAGAGTCAGCACTTTTTGATCTAGGAATTGGTCCATGTTTTGTCTTAACAAATTCATGCTGTGGCAAAAGTTTATCAATTTCTTTAAAATCATGAGAAATAAGTTTAAGTAAGTCACTTTTGTCTAATGAATTTCCCTCTTCTTTGTTCGTGTTGTTCACTGGTCTAGATGGTTTCAATATTTTTTCTCTTTTAACTTGTTTAACATGTACCTCTGGTATCACTGGTTTTCCCTCTAATGTGGGTGTCGTCTGCTGACCGTAATCCTTCATATTGTCATCCAGCTCATGAACATTTGTTTGAATGGAACAATCTTTTGCACAAGGTGGGAACTGAGTTCCAAAGTTTTTAGTTCCACACCATAGAGTTACTGTTGTAGGAGACACCGCTGTATCTTTACTTTGTGTTAAGCTTTCAGTCTGACAACTCTTGTGTTTTCTATTATCTATCTTATCTTTATCTAGCCAATCAAGGATTCTCTTGTTTGTATAGTATCCTAGCTTTCCTTCCTTGCTTACCTGGTGACTTCCAGTCAATGTGTTATCAGAACCAGCACCACAGAACACACAAATATGTGAGCTGTTCCCTAACTTCTGTTCTTTACAGATCACATTATGGAACAAAATTTGTTCAATATTTGCCATACATTCAGGAGAGACTGGATTAGACTGGTTCCTGACTCTCTGGTATAAATCCAACAGGTATGCAGAATGTCGCTTACAATGAAAACTTTCAGCAATCTTCTGAACATCATGTCCATGACAACTTAGTGATGATCCAGAACTCCATGTATGTAAACAAATATCCGGCATACTCCTACTCCTAGAAGGATCTAAGATATTGTCCAATTTACCTAACTTTTTTAAACTTTTAACTTGCTTCCATGAGGTAACAGTCTTTTGTTTTGACCTTGACCTTGTGGGAGAACTGTGGTCATCCCCACAGGAATTATTTAGATGACAAGCAAAACAAATTTTCTGACCTATTCGGAATTGTCTCCCCTTTGATGGTGACAACCTTCTGAACGTTCTTTTAGTAGGGGAGGTGACTGGCTCACTACAAGGTTTTTCATCAGAATAATCACTAGATCCAGACAACTCACTTGTTTGTTCTTGTAGCGCTGTAAGAGTTTGGAATTTAGCAAGTCTACTTCCAACAGCAGGCTTTTTATGGTATGCATTACCTGACATACATATGTGAAAGCTTTCAGATGACTCGTCTCCAACATCTTCATTTGAACAAGCATTTACATGATTCTGACTGTAACTGTTCTGACCTTGACTTGAGCAGTTTGAGTTCATTGAGTTACTTTGCTCAGAATACGACTCAGTGTGACCTTGTGAGCCATCAAATGACAAAAAGTACTCTTCTTTTCGTGGAAAGCAGTCTAAATTTAAATTGCCGTCACTAGAAGTCTGACTTCCATTTATATCCTGATTGTTTTTCTCCTTGCCAGCCTTGTCGAGACTATCGGTGGAATCTTCCTGTGATGCCATGTGGACATCTCCAGACAATGGAGGTGTGAACAGTGGATTGTCACTAAATTCCAACATATCACTCGAGCACATCATTTCACGTTCACTTGTTGACACGTCCATATTAGAATGATGACTGACAGATATTTCTGATTCTTCCGGACAAAAGAGTTCATGTCCATCTTGATTTATTATTCCTGCCGATTTCACATTTTTAAAGCTTAAATAACTTCCTGTCACCATGTTAGGAAATTCAACATCATCTGAAGGATCGGGACACGTACAATTTGGCGGGGAAGATTCACGTAAGTTTGTATCAAATTGCACTGTAAAATCTTCATCATAGAAGTAGTCATTATTAAATCCCTCTTCTTGTGAAGAGCCACCTGGTGGTAAACTTGTACTGCTATTATCACAATCATTGGAATCAGTTTTTCTTATAACTTTTTTATCACTATGATTTGGAGATGTTTTTGAACTGAATGAGAAATTGTCCAAACCACTATTTTCATCTAACTTTCCTATAGTATTATGATCAGGACTATTTTGTAAATTTTTTATTATGACCTCATTATCCTGAGAATCACATGACAAACACTTTTTCGTAGGCGAACTATCTTTCCGATTTGCAACATTATTTTTATTGGCCTCCTGTTTGATAGAGGACCATGTCCGTGTGGGACTACCACCCGAGGAAGACGATGATGTTGAACTGCTATGCCCAGAATTGGAATTTGATTTCATTTCCATGTTTTCCACACTATTCTTTTTGACACTTGCCCAAGTTTTGAGTCCACTAGTGTGTGAGTCGCCTGATGATGAACAATCACTGCTCCCACTAGAGGATCCTTTCTTTTCCTTTTTAGGTGACATTTGTTGCCAGGTGACAGGATTGGATACAAATTTTAACTCAGGCTTGTTAAGAATCTTATTGGTTAGTTGTTTTGTATTGTCCACCTGAGCCTGTTCATTTTCAGCATCACTTTTCTGTTCATTTGTCACTTGATTATCACAGATCTTTTCTTCCATGTTTGTTAAATTAAATTTGATTGGCTGGTTAATGTTTCCTGTTATCACATGAGTTCCGCCAGCCCAGGCTTTGCCAACCAATCCCTGAAATAGAGAGCAAACTAGTTAAATTACAGTAGCAACTTAATCTCAGCTGGCTGCAAGTTTTAAATCATCATGATCATGTGGAAATTTTATCTCATAAAAAATAAGATGTGGTATGATTGCCTTTGAGACAACTATCTACCAGAGTTCAAATGACATGGAAGTAAGCAATTATAGGTTGCCATACAGCCTTCAACACTGAGAAAGACCTATACCATAAAGTCAGCTATAAAAGGCCCGGACAAGAAAAATTTGAAACAATTTAAACACGAAAACTAAAGTACTGAGACTCCAGCATCATCATCTTTTCATTACATATTTAGTCTTAATATACATTTGAAACTATCATATAATGTCTTGTGCTCCTATTTTGTTAGAATATTGATATCTCTTAGTGTTCATTCATGTCAACTAGGGGCTATGGTGGCAGAGATCTTACATGTGGACCATAGGCCATAGTGCTCAAGATCTCATCTGAAGACCAAGGGGCTGTGGTGACCAATTTGTCTAGGTAATTTGCATGTTTTGTTTAAAACTGTAATAATCACTTGCTTTCAACAAGGATCGTAGAGTCTCAAACTATTTGTTAGAGTTTTTCAGTCAAACAATAAACTAGGAAGAGAAAGTTCCAAGTTATTCTGCTCTTTTTATAATTTTTGATATGACGGAAGTTTTTTTTAACATTACATGATAATTACGCACAATATGTTTTACACTTGGTATTTAATCATTTATTCCAGATCCTGAACATTAAGGAAACTCATTCTTAACTGGCCATGCTGGTATGTTTTATTGACTGGCCATGCTGGTATGTCTTAGTTAAGAAATATCATTATCCAAATTAGAAATGCAACTTAATGAATTAATGAATTGATTGATTGGTTGGTTGGTTGGTTGGTTGGTTGATTGATTGATTGATTGATTGATTGATTGATTGATTTACATCAAGTCGCAACTATTTCATGTGTGTTTGGGACAGGTACAAATTAAAACCGGATAAAATCATAGGTTCTGCAAGGTATGGGTGTTGACCAGGAGAAAGGGATACAAATTTTGATTGCAACTGGAAATTGAGGGAATGTTGGTGGAATTGAACAGAATTTTTGCCTTGCAACAAGCCATTAACTAATGGAAAGATATTGATATTTAGTTTTCCACTCATAAGATACTGTTTCTGATTCACTGATAACCATACACTTCATGCTGCTTGTTCAAATACATTAATGATAAAACTGAAGCCCTAAACATTAATCATGATAATAATTACCGGTAACTAACTCCATAGATTAAGTGCATCCACTTCAAATATTTGTGATAATCAAGAAAAACATTTTTCACTAATAATTATTATCTTACAAAATTGCACTCCCCTTTGATTACCCCCAACTATGCAATTATGACTCCCCCTAATTATACCCCAATTACATTGCTGATGATGATACAGTATGTATCTTGTACACTGGTGAGTTATATAAGACAATAATTAAACATCATAATGCTTTTATAATCACATGTTAGCATCTGCATCAGTATTTGAAACAGAGCCAACAAATTCTTATTAAATCAAGATGTACCAGTACATTGAATCTTAAGTTTGGATGTAAAATTACTTGTTGCTTTTTTTTTTTTTTCATTCTTTGCTTTGATTCATTTAAACTAAATACTGTGATATAGAAATTTTTTCTATGTTTTTATAATATTTCGAAAACTGTGACTGTATCATTTTAGCTCAAAATCAAGCCTCACATTCTAATTTTTTGATAGCATGATTTATGTAAGAGCATTCCTTAAAAATTACAATAATTAATCTCTCATTTTTGTCCATTGTTCAAAACTGCAATAATAATTTAAATGCACACAAGCATTTCTGAATTTACAGCAGTTGATAAAAATGACATATTTTATTTTCTGAATGTAATTAAAGAGTTGAATATATATAATTTTCTAAGAACTAGTTTTTTAATTGAGAAACCTTAATGACTTAAAACTGATGACTGACACAGTCAATAGTTAAGTCTTAATTGTCATTTCTTTTTAAATCTAAATTTTTTATACATTATTTCTCAAAAAATGAAAACAAAATCTAAAACCTCAATACATACATGTACATTTACCGTCCATCTTCCCACGTTATATTTACTAATTTTTTTTTAATTATCCTTCTCTTTTTCATCTTTCCTCTACTCCCTTTTCCTTGTAAAGTGTAAGAGCCCATTCTGATAGAGGGAGATAACCTTAACAAATACCCCAAATTATCTCCCCTTGGCCACTTCCAACTCACCTTGAAATCAAAGAATTTCATTTCCACAACAAATCTCTGACGTCAGTAATTATAAACAAATAATATAATACTTCAATAGTTTAGGCAACATTTTATAGGTTGTCTATTAATGGCTGTAAGAGACAGTCAATAAACCATATAGGCGCATTGATTTTTTACATAGCTTCCTTCCGCTATATAGCTATATATATCGAATTAGACGTTTCTGTGGGAAATTTCTTCCATCACATTTCCTTACACAAAATTTTCCAAATATAGAACATTCTGTTGTTTAAAAATTCTGTTTTTATTGGTTTTTCTTATTCCAAATAATTTTCACATTTAAGATCTTTATACATGTCTAGGCTTTTATTAAGTTAAGTCCTAAACATGATAAATATATACAAATCTGCATAAAATCCACTTTTCAATTCCAAACCAAATATTCACATCAAACTGAGGAAAAGAAAGCACGGCACAGTATCCTGATTTCTAAGAGTCAACCCATTTCTAAAATTCCTTCAGTACCAATCATGAAAATATTAAACAATCAATCTTATCAAACACAAATTCAAATGTAAATATTTCCAGCAGTTTCTAAACACTGCAGTATACAGTTAAGCATGAAACGAATATAACGAATCTTAATTTAAGCGCTGGTTTTATCTACTGTAATATACAGTATGGGAATATTCATAAGCTGTTACCAGGTCTGACTAATTACCAGCTATGTAGATTGGGAAGGAGCCAACCACAGTTTATGAGGACGAACCAATGTTATACTGGTTACTGACATTTTGTACAGAATTTTATTGAATTAAGGAAATGAAATTAGACGGTGTAAGTTCTGCAATCAAATTTATAGCAAGTTTCAGTAACAAAATAATGGTCAAATTGTCTGTTGAGATATACAATAGATTTACATGGAAGAATAGAGGAATAAATGTTTGTTAAAACTGACCACTACTATTAAAGATATAGAGTGTGTTTTCTGAAACTGAATAATTCACATCTAATATTTTTAGAATATTTTTTACATTTAAGACTGCACTCATATATAGCAGGGTTTTAATAAAATTTCCTTAATTAAAACAGACATATATGAAGAGCAGGGAGAGAATACAATTCTGAAGATCTAAAAGTTTTTAACTATGAATAAAAGGAAACTTGAAAAATATTTATCATTCCTTAAGCAACCTGACAATACAACTAATGAAAGACTAGCTTAATTTTGAGGTCAGGACACTGATGGATTTTTTTTCTTTGAAGATATTGCTGATTTAAAATTCAGTTGACCCCTGAATGTGTGTTCACTCACAGGGTCAAATCCCTAAAGTTGCTAGAATCTATTCCATTTTCAGTATAAAAGAGTTCAAATAATTCCCATTAAATATTCACAGTATGAATAAAAGGAGCTGAGGGTATACTATAACCCAACAACAAAAACCAAAAGACATCTGAAGGTCATCACACAGTCTTCAACAATGGTCAGGTATATATACAATGTCATCACACAGTCTTCAACAATGGTCAGGTATATATACAATGTCATCACACAGTCTTCAACAATGGTCAGGTATATGTATACAATGTCATCACACAGTCTTCAACAATGGTCAGGTATATATACAATGTCATCACACAGTCTTCAACAATGGTCAGGTATATATACAATGTCATCACACAGTCTTCAACAATGGTCAGGTATATATACAATGTCATCACACAGTCTTCAACAATGGTCAGGTATATATACAATGTCATCACACAGTCTTCAACAATGGTCAGGTATATATACAATGTCATCACACATTCTTCAACAATGGTCAGGTATATATACAATGTCATCACACAGTCTTCAACAATGGTCAGGTATATATACAATGTCATCACACAGTCTTCAACAATGGTCAGGTATATATACAATGTCATCACACAGTCTTCAACAATGGTCAGGTATATATACAATGTCATCACAGAGTCTTCAACAATGGTCAGGTATATATACAATGTCATCACAGAGTCTTCAACAATGGTCAGGTATATATACAATGTCATCACAGAGTCTTCAACAATGGTCAGGTATATATACAATGTCATCACACAGTCTTCAACAATGGTCAGGTATATATACAATGTCATCAAACAGTCTTCAACAATGGTCAGGTATATATACAATGTCATCACACAGTCTTCAACAATGGTCAGGTATATATACAATGTCATCACACAGTCTTCAACAATGGTCAGGTATATATACAATGTCATCACACAGTCTTCAACAATGGTCAGGTATATATACAATGTCATCACACAGTCTTCAACAAGGTTAAGAATGTCCTGTTTATCCATATTTGCAATAATAACATACCATTTGCAAAAGTAAAATAAACCAAATTTATAGTTTTCAGCCATCTTTAGGCATTCATAATTTGGTTACATGTTAAGAAATGTGCAAAAAACCTCAAAGTATACATGAATCTGTTGAGTAAATATTAGCAGACTTTAGACATTTGTCCTGGTTAAAAATAAATTTAGGGGAAATTGGCCCTTCATGTTTAATTTTACACTAAAATTGGTAAAAAATAAACAGCAATTTAGTCTTAACAACAATAATCAGCAAGATGGGTATGACAGGATATACATTGTACAAATATTTCACTGACACCATCAATTCAACTGATATCTAGTAGTTCTTGCTCTAAATGATGATTTTTGACAATTTTTAACATTTTCTCTTGTAATGAGGGGCCTGATGGGGGTGTCTCATTACGATTCATGAGTTGATTTTTTTGTCAATAACGATTCACAGAAAATAATTTCCCATGATCACAGATCACGAAAATATAAAAAAAAAAATCTGTAGAAAAACGGATCACAATAGCGAAAATGAGCCGATCACGAAGAACGAAAATAACCCATCAGGCCCCTCTGTAATCTTTAAGAAAATCAGTGTGATAAGTTTTAAGTGTTGCAAATAAAATTAAAACACTTATATATACAGTCATGTTTATAGTAGATATCTCATCATATATATTGCATGACTTAACGATTCAAGGTTGTATCACACAAGTCAAGGTCAAAAATATTCTTTTTAACCTAGATCAGCATGATCAGATTCTTTTGAAGCTCTTTAAACCCAATGACTGGATCTGGATCCGCAGTCCAATACTAAAATTTGGGTGAAGTAAGATACCTTAATTCCCTCAAGGTATGGTAGCAACTGTTAAGTGGTAGACTTAAAGTGCATTGGTAGTGGTTTATGATTTCGTATCTATTTATACATAAATTCACAAATTAAACATGTGGATGATTTGAAATCATTAATTGCATGACAAAAAGAATAAATTTTACAAAAAGTATAGATTAGTAATCTTTATATGTAGCAGTTGCAATAAATAATTTGATAAAACACAAAAATCAGATAATCATAAAAATCAAAGAAGATTTTACAAAATTAAAATGGATAATTTAAATAAAATGGAAACTCGTGCAAAGCTAAACATCAGAGCAAACTACTAATTGTGAAACTTAATTTCCATAAAAAGAATTATTTATACCTTACATGTAGAATTGTAAATCCAACCAGATAACTAAACATGCAGACATAATCAATCAACTGGTCTGATGGGGAATACCAGAAACCATTCTTATCAATATAATATCACAATTGGTGCTAACGGTATCTACTACTAGAAACTATTAACATGGTCCAGTGAGAGAGATATCTAAACTGGTCTAGATTTAGACTTCATCATCATTTATGGAACAAATTTAGTGATCTGTGTGAAAAATTATCATTTAATTTATCTGATTCAGCAAAATTGTAGATGTTAAATAGCTAAAAATATAGCAACTAATCAATACATGCACTAGATTACATAGAATTATGTAACTCCTCCAGGTCAGATAACTTGTAATTATAAAGGCCATATGGTTCAGTGGAAAACCCAGTATACATAGGGTTAATTAGATCCATATTCTTCATCCTTTTTCATTTCCTTCCACACAAAACTCCAAACTTACTGTATTTGTATCACTTCCCTTTCAACTTATTTTCAATTATACTCCTTAGGCCTAAGGCACCAAACCTAAACTTGATCTGTACCTCATCATAGCAGAAACATAAAATAACAAGAGGCTGTCAGAGTGACAGCCAACCGGATTTTCCTGCAGAGGTCGAACCCTGAACAGTTGAGCAAGTATGGACACAACATTTAAGCTTAAAACTGCTCTGAATTTGGATTGTGATTGAATATTTGACACAGCATAGGTTTGTGACACAAAGTGAATGTGGTCAAAGAACTGAAAAATTTGAAATCGGACATTTACCTATTATGGTCCAATATCCAAAATCTAAGTACATTGTTAGAATCAGCATATCAAAGAACCCCAAGAATTCAATTTTTGATGAAATCAAACAAATGTTTAATTTAGGACCCTTTGGACCTCAATGTGGTATTATCTAATCAATAATGCAAATAAATACAGGTTTAGATTCAGCATTTCAAAGAACCCTATATATATATTCAATTGATGTTGAAATCAAACACAGTTTAATTTTGGACCTTGATTTGGACCAACTTGAAAACTGGGCCCAAAATCAGAAATCTAAATATATGTTTATTGATAGACAATATAAGCTTAGTTTTTAAAGGAGTTCACTTCATAAAAAAAAAATATATATATAGCATTCAGAAAATTAGTTTATACAGAATAACAAACAAACCTACAACAAAATTCTTCAAACAATTTACCAAAGAAAAAAAAAAATCCAAAATGTCATTTATCATTTTTAAAAATCTATAAAACTTATCAGTAATTATCGCTATTTTACGAAATTTTCCTTTGATCTAACTGTCTGATAATTTCCTTTCTCAGCACAGTAGAGTGATATGAAAAATCATATCTAGAAACAAAGGGCGCACGTGCCATTGTCAATGTAATTAACAACGTCGTCATAGGTAAAATAGCGATAAACAAATTATAATTGGTCATTTCAACTCTATTGCTTTTCTCACTTTCGCCGTACCGGCTCAAGTGAGAAAATCAATCTCGTTGAGATGACCAACGATAATCTATAATTATCTTTAAAATGTCTAATAATGAACAGCAAATTTCAAACTATATTTATACTGTCCTACAGAGCCTATCATCATCAACACTTAGGAAACAGAAAATTTTCAAGCAAATCTGTCACTCCAATTATAATTGTGTGACTGATATTTACCACATGCTTTCTTATTTGATAACAGGTGAAAATTATTTAAAAACACTTAGTTTTATCAAACTTTATATATATAATTAATAGTTCCCAATAATTTTTCTTTCATTTGTCACAAACTGATATAGATCTGCAACTTATCTATCAATGTCAACAACTTTATCTACACAATGTAATGTAAAGAAATTTATCCTTTAATAAAAAAAAGATTATTATTATCTAATGAAAATGATATTTGCAAATCTGGACCCCCAAACAGGATCAAGTAAAAATTAAACATTAACACACACAACAAAAATAAAGTACCACGTACATAACAACTGTGACATCTACCTTCAAAACACACGACTTAAAAAAAAATGTTATAGAGAAATTTTTGACCAATCCAACATTTAAACAGACTCTGTCCCACAACAATATTTCTCAATTCTTATATCTATGCATTAATAATTTTCTTCAATCTGTGTTTTATATAGTGATTGATAGGATTTAAATCTTATACCATTTTTTGTCACAAATGACAGTAAAGGATTCAGCTTTTTAATAAAATAACCAAATTTTGCACTTTACTTGCTAGACTTTTCATTTAAATGAAGAAAAATATTATGTGATTTTATTTTATAACATTCATTTAAAAATACAGAAAAAAATGTTTGATTGTTATATTTCTTTTACTTTTTCCTCCACAATTTCTAATTTGGTTTTTCTTATGCATGTGTTTGTTTGTTTTACTATTTTGTAATTTTTTGTTTGTAATATATCAATGATTTTGATGAGGGCCTCATGGAAGACTATTTTCATAGTTAACTGTGTGACCGTCTTTAAATAAAAAAAAATTATCATTATTATTAAAAGGGGAGATAACTCCAATAATTTATAAAGAAATGACACTGCAATGTATATTTATCTATTTTGTTTGAAGCAAGAAAATAAGAGTGACCAATACTTTGCATTTAATTTTTGAAAATAGCACTATATGTTAACTACATATAAAATAAGGACAAGTATCCCAGGGATCACCACAGAATTTATTTTAAGAGTGGCGTTCACGAAAAAAAAAAATATTGAAATTACAATCACATAAGATCTTTATTGTAGATCATAATCTGTTAATTAGGAAAAAGATAAACAAATTAAAGCCATTGTAAAAAAAAATTGTAATTAAGGCATGAATTTATACTTTTGAAGTAAAAATTGTCAAAAATTTTACCTTTTCATCACATTTTTCAAAAATTCAGGGGTGGTGCTGAGAAATTCAAGAGTGGTGCTGAAGATTTAAGGGTGGAGCTGAAAATTTAAGGGTGGAGGAGCTCCACCCTTAAATAGCCTCTGGTGATCCCTGTATCCACCAGAGACCAAATGACATGGATGTTAGCAACTAAAGTGTGCCGTACAGTGTAGTATGTACAATATTGTTAAGTTTAGTTCATACGACATACTACCTAAATGACAGATAAAAATTCTATATTTTTTATCGTGATTGTAATGACAATTTGACTGTCTAATAAAAGCAATTAAGAGAATTCTGAGAATGTCAAATGTCCTGTCAAATTTAGTTTGTTTAAATAAAATGTAATTCTTTGCTGGACTAAATGTCCACTAAGAAGAACTTAATAACCAAATCAGTGAGGCTCAAGTAAAATGGTGTTTGGTCAAATCAAAGCTGCATATTTTCTTGACCAAATGACCTGTTAAAATCTTAGACAGTCTGATGATTATCATTTTATTGTACTACATAATTCCCCCTCCAGGCCTCCATTCCATGGCTCCAGTATTCTCTCCATCAATATTTGTATGGTACTACAGTATTATTGATCTCCTTAAGTTGGAATATTGGAAAACTTGCAGAGTTTTAGTCAGGTCACTTTAATGTTTTATTGATTGTGTATAACTGTTGTGTGTAAGCCTACTTATTTTGATCATGATTATAGCAATGTGTCAATATGAATAATTAGTTATTGTCTGATTATGGATCTCCTAATTAATCTAAAATTTTATGGACCAGAAAATGGAATGGTCTTTTTTTCAAATCATATGTGATAAATTTAAATCAGTCATTTTTTTATAACCGAATACCTAATATCAATGATTCAAATCTATTAATCATTGTTAATCAGTCAGGTATTCAGTATGTTTCATTTTTAAGACAACACCTTATTTTGATTACAAAAAATTCCAATGACCTCAGCCTTTAGATCAGCATTTCAGGAACTTATTAAACAATAAGTCCTACGTATAACATGATTATGAGAACTAAAACTGAAAACCCAAATAACTGGTAATAAAATGTTCCGCTGGGGCGCAGCTTGATACGACCGCAGAGGTCGAACCCTGAACAGTTGGGGCAAGTATGGACACAACATTTAAGCTTGATACAGCACTGAATTTGGATTGTAATTAAATATTTGACACAGCATAGGTTTCTGACACAGAATGAATGTGGTCTAAGAACTTAAAAAATTTTAATTTACCTATTCAAACCATATCATTATTATTTGCTTTTATATATAAATCAGAAATAACCAATTTAAAATGGACAATTTTAAAGAAAAAAAAGGAACCCCCCCCCCCAAATTTTTTGAACCCCCTTATGATTCATCACCCCCAAACTCAATCCCAGCCTTCCCTTTGTGGTATGGTACCTTGCAGTACAATTTCAGAGAGATCCATACACTTGAACACAAGTTATTGTCTGGAAACTAGAAAAATGCTTGTTTTTAGGTCCCTTTTTGGCCCCAAATTCCTAAACCCTTAGGGCAATTACCCCCAAACTCAAACCCAGCTTTCCCTTTGTGATATGGAACCTTGCAGTACAATTTCATAAAGATCCATACACTTACACACAAGTTATTGTCCTGAAACTAGAAAAATGCTTGTTTTTTTTGCCCCTTTAAGGCCCCTAACTCCTAAAATTTTGAGGGAATTACCCCCAAAATCAATCCCAGCCTTCCCTTTGTGGTATGGTACCTTGCAGTACAATTTCAGAGAGATCCATACACTTGAACACAAGTTATTGTCTGGAAACTAGAAAAAATGCTTATTTTTGGCCCCTTTTTGGCCCCTTATTCCTAAACATTTTGGGCAATTACCCCCAAACTCAATTCCAGCTTTCCCTTGGTGATATGGAACCTTGTAGTACAATTTCATAAAGATCCATACACTTACACACAAGTTATTGTCATGAAACTAGAAAAATGTTTGTTTTTTGCCCCTTTTTGGCCCCTTATTCCTAAAATTTGGAGGCAATTACCCCCCACAATCAATCCCAGCATTCCCTTTGTGATATGGAACCTTGTGGTACAATGTCAGAGAGATCCATACATTTACACACAAGTTATTGTCATGAAACTAGAAAAATGCTTGTTTTTTGCCCCTTTTTGGCCCCTTATTCCTAAAATTTGGAGGCAATTACCCCCAGAATCAATCCCAGCATTCCCTTTGTGTATGGAACCTTGTGGCACAATGTCAGAGAGATCCATACACTTACACACAAGTTATATCTGGAAGTTACAAAAATGCTTATTTTTGGCCCCTTATTCCTTAACTGTTGGTACCATAACCCCCAAAATCAATCCTCACCTTCCTTTTGTGGTATTGAACCTTATGGTAAAATTTCATAGAGATCCATTCGCTTAAACTAAAGTTAGAGTGTGAAAACCAATGCGTCTTCGGACGACGACGACGACAACGCCAACGTCATACCAATATACGACCGCAAAATTTTTTTGCTATCGTATAAAAATGAATAATATGCATAGACATATCAGTGGTTGTCAATGGTTCATGTCTGTTATTTTTTTTTTGTAAATTGTTACAGTACAAGTAATACTATTAGTTTTCTCAATGGAATTGTTTCATATTTTTCATGTTGGGGCTTTTATAGCCGACTATACGGTATGAGTTTTTCTCATTGTTGAAGGCCGTATGGTTGCCTATAATTGCTTACATCCACTACATTTTAACTTTGGTGGAGAGTTGTCTGATTCACAATCATACCACATCTCCTTATTTTTATATAAAAAGATGCCTTCCTTTATCTAAATTTCTGGCATTAACCTGACATCTTCTTTAATTCCAACAGAACATTTCTGCATCAACATCCCAACAATGCTCTATTCCTGGCAATAATTCTATTAACATTCAATTCATTATTTATTTATTTATTTTCAATTGGTGAAATTTATAATTAATTAATCAAGCACTGACCTGATCCACTTGACCTCATATATGATGATGAGTCAGTGACCACTGTGGTCATTATATGGATTTGGTGTTTTTCTTTACAATATATGTTCTAGATAGACAAAGTATGGGATGTGTGCATAACATTCTAAGGGTTGTTCCATATAGGGAAGACACTTGGAAATCTCTACTAAAATGTTTAGTGGGTGAAATCTTATGTGTAAGAGAAATTCAAAACTAGACTTTTTAGATATTTAACCAATTTTCAAAGTACATATGAACTTTGCCTTGGAACCATGTGTTTTTTCAATGGAACAGCCTTTATTTGGGTTCTTTGAATAAACTTATTCTTGAATTTTATCAATTTACAAAATATACCACTGTAATAAGATTTTTGAATATTGTCTTAATAAGGCCAAAAATAAAATTAGAATTTTTTGATGTTGCCTTCCTACCCACCTGAAAAACAGCATAACAAAAAAAAAATTTAATGATTTTTCCCGCTCTTACGTCATTTTCTTGTCTATAACATGTAACTTATGTTGTTGGCCAAAAAAAATAAAATCCCTACCTACCTACCCAACCCTTCAAGGCATGGGTAGGCAATATCAACAGAGATTTTTTTTAAGGGTGGCCTAATATATATGTAATAGTACTGATTTTTGTTTTAAATAAATTAAATGTATTGCCATATAATTATAAATACTTATAGTCCTACAACCTGTGGAAACTTATATTTTGGCAAAGCACAAGATTATACTTTTCTCCTATCTGTTTATGAGGTCCATTGCTTGTGTACTGATTGATATTCTTTTTTTGAAAACTTTGCACTATAAGGATAAACATTCAATATCTCAAATCTAAATTTACTTTGAAGATAACGTGATACAAAAAAGGATAAACATTTCTGTTTTCTAAACACAGAGGTCTTAACATATGATTAAGGTTACAGACGTACAGCTGGGATTACAAAATCACCCACATTCATATATTGATTTCTTCAGAAAATTCAAAATCGTTACCCATATACATGTAGATAAATTTCATGGCAAAATCATAACCCATTCATATATTTCTCAGTTCTCTCATACCCAATCTATGATATCTTCATTTGATTTAACAGGATAATTTAACTTGTGCCAATTAAAGTTTTAGCAGATACAGATGTTTACCACATGGGAACATTTATATTAATTAGATATAAGGATCGGTGCACTGCACAGTATGCATATGCATGATATATACATGTACATGGTGCACTGCACAGTATGCATGATATATACATGTACATCTACATCTTGTTATTCCTTTGACACCCTTTAGTTGCTAATATCTATGTCATTAACATATCATTTTGGTGAAATAGCAACTCATTGATGTAAACTGACATCTAAAAAAAAAGACAAATTTCAGCGACACGAGTGTTAACTTTCATATAGGTACAGATCCTGTGTTTCTAAGACTTTTCCTAAAAAATTTCACCATTGTTCATATAACAAAACATATCTATAATTGGTTATATATTCACCTGGTTTATTGTAGAAATGACATCAGTACATTCTCTGTTATCATTGTAATCCATTTCTGCTACCAGGAACCAGAAACAAAGCTAGTAGGCCACGCCCACATTCTGGTAGCAAACCTACAAAATATAATGAAAGACATTGTTTAAATTAAGTTGAAGACAATTGTTTGTACAACAAATCATATAAACATAAAACAAATTCTTCCAAAATATGCACATGTTTTTACTTTGCTTCTGTGCCAGTCTTATTGAAAAACACATCCTTTGTCCATGCTTCACTTACATGGATTTATAAACGCTACATTATACTTTATGTTTTAAAATCCTTTCGGGATCCTCTTATTTTATCCTAATGATACACACCTTCAAAAATTTGAAAGCTGAAATTTCATTGCCTGATATAATAATTACCATAATAGAAAGTAGAATTTTGTCAGATCTTTGTAAGAAAAGCATGGACAGAACTGTATTTCAATCATTGCTTCTGTGCTTTACATAAGAACTTAACAAACTGATTATTCATCTCAAGGTTTCTCAAGTTTCTTGGCCTAACCATAAACATTTGAACCTTTACTGATAAAAGATAAGAAATCATTAAAGTCTTCAGCATGTTTATGGGAGATTAATGTAATAAATGATGCAGATTATTTATAAAACTGAATGCATGTATATTTCTGTCATTTTCAAGGTTGAACTTTTATATTTCAGATATAACACCTCACTCAATATCAGAAAATGTTACTTGAAACTTGTAAATAAAATTGAGAATGGAAATGGGGAATATGTCAGAGAGACAACAACCCGACCAAAGAGCAGAAAACAGCCGAAGGCCACCAATGGGTTTCAACACAGTGAGAAAATCCTGCACCCGGAGTCGGGATTCAGCTTTGATTGCATTGTTGATGGCATCATAAGTAAATTGTGCAATGGTATGACCAGCAAAAAAAAGATTTCGATGTTTTAGTGGTCATTTTTGATAGAAATTGTCCAATAAATCCCATAATTATTTGTCATTCATTGTTTTAGTATTAATCAGGTCATTCCTTTTCTTGTTTGAATTGTTTCACATTTTGTCATCCATGTCATCTAGCATTTGTTTTGTCATGTTTGTCATGTTTTGTCATGTTTCATCATGTTTTGTCATGGGCCTTTTATATTTTACTACAATATGGGTTTACTAATTGTTGAAGGCTGTACAGTTACATGAAATTGTTTAACATCCTATTATAAAGTCTTTCTTTCCTTTTGGGGATAGTTGTCTCATTGGATTTCATACCACATCTTCTTATATTTCTTTGATGTTTTGTACAGAAAATATGGAATATGTACACATATTTGATAATTAAAATTATTTTTTATTAATTTTTTCAACCAAGAAGACAATGACACTGTTTTTCTAACTTTATTTATGACTCAGAATATTAAAATGATTTTTAAACTGTTGCTGCTCACATGGAAGCTATTAAACCAAGAGTTCTAAGCGGTGAAGTTGAAATCGTCCCTTAGTAAATTTTACGGACGCCATCACAAGTTGGTTAACCGTTATGGAATATCCGTTTCACAGATGACAACAGATATGTTCCAATTGTCGTAACTACAATCCTGTCCCCTTTTCCCCGAATGTGATCTACCGAATAAGACTCATCACCAGGATCTAACTACGTAAAATTAATTAGTTGCCTTATTGATAAGTTTCGTAGCTTGTCATTTCAAAACGTTAACATCTTTATCATTACCCAAAATTGGGTTGACATTTCCTAAGTATATATATGAACAAAAGGAGCCAAAGACCATTCTATTTGATACCATATGGACCAACTGCATGTCTACCATTTTTGTAACATGCATGTATTGACTAAACACATGTTTACTATTTTGTAACATATTCACTAAACACATGTCTACCATTTTGTAACATATTGACTAAACACATGTTTACCATTTTGTAACATATTGACTAAACACATGTTTACTATTTTATAACATATTGACTAAACACATGTTTACTATTTTGTAACATATTGACTAAACACATGTTTACTATTTTGTAACATATTCACTAAACACATGTCTACCCTTTTTGTAACATATTGACTAAACACATGTTTACTATTTTGTACATTATTTCTTGTGAATTCCAAAACTTTGTACCAACATAGGTTTTGGTGATTTTTAAAACAGATTTAAATAATAGGAAAGAATCATTCAATGAGGTAAAGAATTCAATTTTGTTAAACATTTTAAGATTTACATTACAAATTGAATTATTATTTTATAACATAGGGTAGCAGTTGCAGTATTCCTGATCACTTCTAATGACCTATGATTGGTTATATTAAGCAATACACAGAAATTTGATTTAAGGTTTATTTGCAGACAGGATTTAGCCTAATTTTATTTTATAGCAATAATAATACAATGTAATAAGATGTTTTTTAATTGACAAAGAAATGATTATTTGCATCTGCTTTTATATAGTAATTAAAGAGTTGGTTTAGACCAGTTTATATTCCCTCAAAAAGGACATGAAAGAAGCCATGAATTTTTATGATTACCCAAGAATTTGCACCATATGTGACCAATCATATGTCTCCATATAAAAGCATTAGTTGTCAAACTAAAAGGGGGTTCCTACCCCTTATCCCCCTTAGGCATTATTGCAAGGGCCCATATAGAGTAACAAATGGCATATTTGTACATATCGGTCTTCCATATGGTACATATATTTTACAAATTTTGTTACGGTACAAAATGTATGAATCATAATATGAAATGGTTATGGTATAAAAGAACTGTAATTCAAAAGTTTCTTAACAACTTCAGGAATTCATGATTTTGTTCATTTCAAATCAAAAAGCCGAAATTGCTGTATAGAAAGCCAATCACCATGATGACTGTGTTTAGTAAAGAAATCATTATGATTAAATATCTACTGACAGCATTGTTTTCAATTGATTTAAAATGTCTAAAGTATGGATAGGGAAGACTAGAAAAAAAAATCTGAAAGCTCATCACAAGAGTATTTATTGCAGCAAACTTCCGATCCATATGTTTTTCCGAGATCACTCGTAAGTTTGAGTGCTTATAAAAGTAATATAAACGAAGATGAATATGTTAAAAAATGTGGATTTAGAATTAATTCTATTTTGACTAGAAACACAATCAGCTCTACTTCTGACAGTTCTTTTCAAACCGAGGTTAAAACTAGTGAAGACAATAAATCCAACTTCATTTTCTCTTACCATTGCTGTAGTTTGGACTACATTTTGTTAGAATCTCTTGTTAAATCATCCTTATTTCATCAAAGTAACATGTTGATTTCGATTCCTGTCCGACATATTGTTTATCATTAACATAAATAATTGGAAACAGAGTCTGATGGGAATCAATCAAATCGATAGGCTAATCACTGGAGCTTTTTTTCTTAATTAATTCATGACAGTTTAGTTAATTATTTAATTCATTTGGCCCCAATTAAAGGACTGTGGTTCAACCCTAATACTTTTCATAATAATGCAGCTTTTGCATTTCTAATCTAAAGCTGTAGGTTTTTTGGAATTGTGTAGAAACCGGAAGTTATGATTTTATAATTAAATCTAAGTCGGAGAGGCGCGAAATTAGAATCACGGACTTTTCTTCGTCAAACACGGTTGTGAATGAAAGAGCATGGTCGCAAGAAAATAATGAGAGGAAGATTCGAAAGAAAATTTTAGATTTTTTTCGTCGTCTACACAATAATTTATTGATTTAGTGCACAAAACATTTACACATTGTATATTCACAAAACTCATCCAAGGCATCCAATAATTATTCAGGCCTGAAAAAGTGTTATGGTGTTTTTCACAAAACATCATCCACGACAGGTTATTCACTCCGTCATCAAACACAACTGTTATCAACTAACAATTATATACCTGATTTATTTATTTCTACATCTTTAAATATGGATATGATTTCAACATTATCAAAATAAAAACTCTTACAGGCTCGCTAAAGGGGTCACATCACTTAAGCAACCCCAAAGATGTAACTTTAGACAATATATCTACTAGAAGTAAAAAATACTCTCTCAACCGCTCAAAAGCTTTGGACAAAAAACAGGACAAATGCCAAAAGCAACATATTAAATACGAAATGAAACCAGGCAAAAACATTGTAATTGAATTCTCCACAGCAGCTTTCGAATCAACAAAAAACTATCTATTATCTCATTTTACTTCCGAAAATTTCAACAGCAATTTGGCAGTTAAAGAGCAGAAAAATCTTGATTCAACTCACATTACTGTAGATCACTGTTACCGTATATTCAACCGTAAAAATAACGGTCAAATTGGCTCACAACTGAAATATGTAGTAAATGTCTACAATACAACTAGCCTTATAAACGTAAATTGCAGTAGAGTTGAGTTATTTGTATCTCTGTGCTTACATAAGCAAACATTTTGATTCTCTCGACATTTTAAACAATGCAATCTCTAACTACATGGAGGAGATGAGTGCTAATTATAACGATAAAGAACAAAATTTGGGAAACTCTGCTTCATCCATTCTGAAAGGGAAGTCGAGGCAACCAAAGGTGGGAACATCCACGACGTGTTGCCTTGCACTCTCCCCTCCACCATCTCCACACAAACATTGGACATTTCTACCGGTTCTCCAAAACCTGCTCTGTTAAATGACTCGTCCGTATCTAAGCCTCTAACCGAAATTTGCCCCATGTGCTCCGAGTTCGTTGTCGAGGAGGGTATAGCTTGTGACAAATGTAACTACTGGCTCCATTTTGAATGCACAGGCATAAACAACGACAAAACAAACCTAAATAGCATTCAGGGGGAGGAATTTATTTGTATGCTCTGCAACAATGACTTATTATATGAAGACCGTAACTCAAATGAGACTTTCTGTCAAATCGTCAAAGATAATGAGGATATACATAAAAATTCTATATTATCAAATGCAATTGAACAGTCTTCCAATACAGAGAAACAGTTGGTGCCAAACTCTTTAGCAAATCAATCTTCTAATGACACTAAAGGGGAGTTGGGTCAGCCAACAGTGGGCTCACCCACGACGAGCTGCCCTGATTTCCCTTCGTCAACAACATCTGACACTGGTTTCCCAGAACCACAATCAGATCAATACTGCCATTAATTTAGAGGTAAATAAACTTATAACTACAAAAAGAGCTTATAAAACGAAAGATGAAAAGGAAGATATTGTAATTAATCAAAAGACAAGAATTCTCAATTTAGAAAATGAAATTAATCAACTTAAAAATGTAGGGAAAAGTCTGGCTATAAACTCTTCAAATTCCAATCCTCTTCAGCTAAATACTGATACTATTAGAATTCAAAAGCAAAGTTCTAACCCATATGGTCAAAATGAAAGCCAACACAACCAAAACACGTGTTGTCAACAAAAAATTAGAGAGGAACTAATGGATCAAAGGATCAGAATGCTCGAAACACAAATGGTTCAAAATATGTGTATTAATACAGCTCTAACAACACAGCTTGCAATGCAAGCAAGACCAACCTACCCAATGTCGGCACATCCATCAAACTTGCATTGGGGTCCACCACCGTTAAACCATTTTCAACATCCAGTATCACCATTTAGCCACTTTCCAGCTAGCCACATACATATGCACCCTATCCCATCTTTTCCCGCCTATAATCAGCATCAATTCGTTCCTCATCAGTTTCAACCGCCAGCCTATAACTATAGAAATGGACAACATCCAAACAACGTCCATACGGCTCATCCAACAGCTAACCATACGCACATTAGTGGTTTGCACGATCGGGTACAACACCCACAGCCACACATCTATCCACAACATGGACCACCTGTTAGACAATTTCCGTTCTCACATTCTAAAAGTCAAACAAGACAACCAAGATCTCATGTGAATAATTCTCAACAACAATCTCATTCACAATTTTCACAAAATAAGTCTTCCGGTGTGCCAAATAATTCTCACCTTATGGATTTTTCTTCTCAACACAAATTTTCAGATCACCAAACTAACCAAGTTCGGCATAATGTTCATCAAAAGTCTGAAAAACTATGTGCAACTGAACAATTTCCTACAAATGAAAGGTTAGGGAAGTCAGATCAGCCAACACTGGGATTATCCACGACGTGTCGTCCTGCACTCCTCCCTACACCAACTATAGGAAACAAAACGTCATTACAATCGTCCTCAAATACCGAAACTTAGACACAACCATAATTCATGATGAATCAGTCTCTCACTCTTCTACAAATGTTATCTCTTAGGATTCGTCATTCACACCAAGTTTAGATGATACGAAATCAAATGAACTCTCTCTTGACTCAAATGTACAAGCAAAATCAAACGACAATACTAAAGAGAACTCTGCTCATCCTTTTCGTCAAACCAGCTTTCTCAAACATCCTCAAGATCAAAGGGAAATACTGAGGTCTACCAGGCTATAAATATTCTTTCTTGCAATATTGAAGGCATCAAGTCAAATCATCAATACCTACACACTCTGGATCTTCAAAATATAATTATGTGCCTCAAAAAACACTTTCTTTGGGAATTTCAAAAACAAACTATGTCAAATTTAATCCTATCTTTGGAAAATTTTACTAGATGCCATGATGTCAATGAAACTATTTCAAATTTTAAAGCACCAAGAGGACAAGCTGGTGTTTCAATCTTGTGGCCCAGACAATGGTCGAGCAGAATTAAGAAACTGGAGGTAGGAAATGAACGAATCATTGCTATAACTATAGCAACCGAACCTATGCTCTGAATCATCAATGCATATATGCCTACAATAAATACTAACTCTGAAACACAATACTCTGAATGCCTGGATATAATTTTCGACATCATTGAAAAATATCAATCAAAATATGTTATAATTCTAGCTGGTGATCTTAATGGGACCCTACTTCAGACTAGAACAAACAAACATGATAGATTGTTCAGGGAGTTTGTCCAGGAAGTTTCTCTTTATCGACCCGATATAGGCAATCAACCTACCTTCTTCCATCATGCTCACCATGTGGATCCTCACAGATTGATTGTATTCTTTCCAACAGGAATAATTTATCTAAAAAGTACTGTATTCTAGACAAATCCTATGCCAACACTTCAGCACATTGTGCAGTCATCCTACAAACAAATATCAGCATTCCTCTTCTTGTCCACAATACAAGTCAAAAGAAAATCACAAAAATGACAGTTTTATGGGAAAAAAGGGACGAAGAGAAATATAGGGAAACAATCCTAAATGAGTTGCTTCATAAGGATCTTCCAACACTGGAAATTGATCAACAAATAGACATTATCTCAAATTCACTTATAAATGCTCAAAAACAGTCTATTCCGTCCAAAATTACACAGCTGAAAGGCCCAAAATGGAAGGCTTCTCCTGAAGTTACAGTCTTACTTAAGATGTGTAAAATTCTCTACAACAAATGGGCAGAGTTGGGCAAACCAACAGGACATCCGTTATCATTTG